TGTGCTACTTAGCTCACAACACCACAACACCACACTCTCTTGCACTTACACACCTCTGCAGAACACTGCACTACCTTTCCTACACACACGCACAAGGAGCACTTGCTCCTTTATATAGCCTGCAGAGTCTGTGCATTCACCGACTTTGCCAATTTTGTACACACTTCTATTATTGTTTTATACAGCAACTTGCTCAATAAAGGATAGAGCATCCTAGAGAAGGCTGGACTGGGAATGATGAAGAAAATTCTAGAAAAATGGAGAGAGAGAGAGAGAGAGAGAGAGAGAGAGAGAGAGAGAGAGAGAGAGAGAGAGAGAGGATAAGGCTGGATTTTTCTGGAAATATGTGGGCAAATCCTGAGAGAGAGAGAGAGAGAGAGAGAGAGAGAGAGAGAGAGAGAGAGAGAGAGAGAGAGAGAGAGAGGTGGTGTTCTTCTCAACAGTGTGTACCAAGTGCTTTCACAAATTCAAGCACAACTAGTTGATTATACAACTGACAGTTGATGCATTGAGCAGAATTACACAGCTATAGTGTGCATGGTCTTTTGAACTTACAAGGCCATTCTGCTTATATCACGTTTCAGTGCTAGAAAGTAGAATGAGAAATCAGAAATGGTATATCACCAGGTGAAGGAAACATTTTTTTAGGCTAAAAAATTGTCAGCTTTCAATGTATAAGCAGTATCATTTCACATAGCATCAACTGGAGCTAATTCCAACTCTTGAGAGATAATATTGGAAGAGTTGCCTCAGTCGCTCCAGACATCCAAGTGAATCGATTCTGCAACTTTCGGAGGCCTTTGGAGTATAAAAGAGGTGTAACGGTCGCATTGAAGATGTCTACAGGGAGTTTGAGTTCCTTGTCCAGATCACAACGATGAGGCAGAGAGATCTCTATGAACTAGGTATGCTCCGGATGTTCAAGATAAGCAGCTCCTGGGATCCCGACCTACTGTCAAAGTGCGCAACAGAAGGCTTAAAGGATTTTACAAGTTATATCGAATCAAAATAAATGGAGTTTCTGCTCGATATCTCTCGATCGTTGGAAAGTTTCATGTGGATTCAAGATGGGTTGGTCTACTTACTGATAGGATATAATCAACGACTTAGGCTGCGCATGGCAACTATTCTGTGTCCAGAATCAGATTCTGAGCAGAAATGATTCTTTTTTATTCCGTGCCCGGAAATAATTTCTAAGTATTTGAAGGCGTTTGATAACTGTTTAAAATTTATGTTCTTAGAATAGAAAAAGAACATAAATGTGTTTGGTAACTACAAAAAATTTCTTTTTATTAATAATATTTTGAATTTTTTAATATTTCTTTCTTTTTTTTTCTTTTTTTTTTCTTTCTTTCCCCTTCCTTTCTTGGCCATGGCCGGCCGCCGGCGCCGGCAATCGGCCATAGGCCAAGGCCGGTGAGGGCGTCGTTGCCCTCGTCGCCGCCCTCGCCGTCGCCAACCCTAGCGACGGTGAGGTCGAGCCTCGCCCAGCCAAGGCGAGGCCAGCCTCGCCGTTACCACCCAGGCGACGGACCTGGGTGGCGGCGGCGAGGTCGGCCTCGCCCAGCCAGGGCGAGGCCTTGCCGTTGCGACGGCGAGCCACCCTCGCCGGCCCTAGCCTGTGGCCGGCGGCCGGTCGCCGGTGGGTGGCGGGGCCGAAGAACAACAACAAACCAAAAAAAAAAAGAAAAAAACCAAGAAGAATCAGTTTCGGAAAAATTGTTCCAGAATCAAGAATCTACTTTTTTTTTATTCTTGATTCTGTTCCAAAACTGATTCTGGGCACAAAAAATTTAACAAACGGATTTCTGTTCCCAAACTGATTCTAGGAACAAAAAAACAGAATCAGTTACTATTTGGCAAGCTGCCAAACAGGCCCTTAGCCTTGAAATGTCTCTTCTACTTCTCATGCTTCAACAATGCGGTTTCTAATTGTAGCATTTTTTTTTGCTCACAAAATTGTTTAATTGTTCTGATAGGAAGAATATCCTTTTGAATAAGACTGTAACGGGGCTTCTGGAATGGGGTCTCCCCTCTTGTATGGTAAGGTTGAGAAATAGGAATTTCCTATTCCTAGCCAGCCGGTTGGACTCCTACGGATTGTATTCATGAGGGCATCTCATTGAAAAGTGGTAAGCCCTTCAAATGAACTAGTTTTTCAAGTTTTTACTCTGTCCATCAAGCACTTTTAAGCACGATTCTTCCTTGACCAAAGAGTGGCCGTAAGTAGTCATGGCCATGGGCCGGTTTTGGCCTGGAACAGGCCCGATCAAACCCGGGCCTGGCCCGTTGACCGGGCCCGCGGTTCGGAACCGGAACCGGCCCATGGCCTATGGGCCCAGTTCCGGTTCCAACAATTTTGGAACCGGCCCGGAACCGCCGGTTCCGGTTCCGGTTCCAAATTATTTTAAAAAAATAATAATAATAAAATTTTAAAAAATTCATTATTTAATTTTTTTTTTATAAAACAATTTGAACTCTAATTGCCATGCATTGTAAGTGCATTGATCACTAATTACAATGCTTGGCTTGGGTGTATTGAACTAATTACAAGGCTTGGCTTGGGTTTTATACACAATGATTCTAATGCCTCTTCGTTCCCGTTCAATATGGGACTCTCGGCTTGCCTTGAACACCTTCAATGTGAGACTCTTAGCTTGTCTTCATGCAAATGCCAAGAGTCCCACATCGAATGGGAATGAAGAGACCATCAAAGGGGTTGTGTATAAAATCCAAGCCAAGCTATGAGCATGTAAAGTTGTATGCCTTTTGTGGCTACGATCCTTTGCTAGTTAAGAGCAAAGGGTTCCATTGGACTGCCTAGAACCGGACTGGGCCAATGGTCCGGTTCCCGGTTCTATGATTTGCCGGTCCGGTTCTTAGTTCTAAAATTAAGGGACTGGTATTACCGGTTCGGTTCCCGGTTCCGAGCGGAACCGGACCGAACCGGGAACCAATCACCCCTACAATTTACATTTTGATTATAATTTATATTGAATAATTTATTATTTCATAATTTTATAATTCATTATTTTTTTATTTCATAATTTATTTTTAAAAATTTTAAATTACGAACCGGAACCGAAACCGCTAAGGGTGGTTCCGGTTTCGGTTCACACATGGCCACGAACCGGAACTGGTCGGTTCCGAACCGTGGCCATGACTAGCCGTAAGTGCTAGTTTACTTGCCTACGCTAAGGGATAATTACCAAAAAAATCATAAACATATTGCATTTATGCCAATTCAATACTAAACTTTCAATTTAGCCAATTTTGGTTTGAAATCGTTTATGTGAACAATTTTTACAATTTCTTCAAAATATTTATCGAATTTTTTTGAATTTTTTGTTTTTTTATTCTTTTCTTTTCCTTCTTCCTCCCACGGTCGCCAGCCTCCGCGATGGCCAGCAACCGACCACAGGCAAGAGCCGGCAAGGGTCGACCTCGTCAGATCACTAGAGGCCAACGAGGGTCGACCTCGTGAGCTTTAGGCAAGGCTTGACAAAGGCCGCCCCTCGCCAAAGGCCGGCGAAGGTCGGCCTCGCCAACTTCGGGCAACCTCGCCCATGCGAGGGACAGCCTCGCTGGCCATCCAAGAGGCCCGACGATCGGCAGAGGAAGAAGGGAAAAAGAAAAAGAAAAAAAAATATAAAAAAATTCAAACAACATTTTAAAAACTGCAAAAATTGTCCATGTTAGTGCTGGTTGTGCCACATAGGATGGCCGGCATCTACATCAATAATTTCTAGCCAAAATTAGCCGGATGGACTACATTGGCAAATTGTTAAAAGGTTTATAACTAAAATGACCAAATTGAAAGGTTTAAGACTGAATTGGCACAAGTACAATAGGTTTAGAAATTTTTTGGTAATTTCCCCCTATTCATGAGCAAGCTTGGAAAACTTTGTATAACCTTTCCTCAAGTGGAATATAGAGGTCGGGAGATTAGCAGATCCAATCATTTCTTACTCTTTCTTAGATTGTATTTGCACAAATTTTGCTTTCTTAGTCGATCCAGTCCATTACTGTACTACTCACCTTCAGTTGGAGTGGTCAAACCAAGCCAAAGTAAAGTTTGGTATTTCAAGATTGGTATTTAAAATCGGTATACTAAGATGCAACGGACTCTTATTAAGTGTTGAATGTGGCTCATTTGTCTAAATGTCAAGTCTGTCATATAACTTAGCAAACCAATTATGTATTTCATACTTCTAGACGTAGCATTTAAGTAAGTGAGTCGTGCTTAAGACCCCTTAAAAGTCTATTATATTATCTAGTATATGGATTTTGTAAATCAGTTTTAGTATAGCAAGCAAAATATGGCTACATATAAGACAGAAAAAGGAGTTGTTTCAGCATCAGTCCCAGTTTCTATCTCTTTATGCCGCAGAGCTTGAGATGGGAAGTGGTTATTAAGTATTCTTAGTTGTATCACACTGGATTGTCATATCGCTTTGCTTCTTGATAAGAATAATTCATGGATGCATTGTCTATATACATCAATGACTGCTGTACTGTATCTACCTTTTTTATTTGTGGATAGAAAACATTTTATTGCTTGAAAAAGAACCAAATAACACTTTTTTTTTATCTCCCCAGATATTTTTGAGACATCAATGGGCCAAAACAGGCCCCCCACATTAGCATTTTCTTAATGTTTTGTGGGGATTCTCACCTGTCACCGATTGCATGATCTTGAGAACAGTTTTCTGGATAACACCTAACAAGATAGGGTGTCGCTTCAAGAGAAAGTCTCTCAAGTCGGCCCCAACTTGTGATTAATTAATATTTCTGATCTACCCTTTTGCTGTTGATGAAGATGATACTAAGCAAAAGGGAAATGAAAGTACTTTTCTTTCAGGAAATTGCACAACAAGATCTCCTAAATTGCTGTAAGACCCACCTCAATGGGTCACAAGATCAACAGCAAGAAAGTACTTGTGGCGCTGCTTTTTGTTAGCACTAACAAAACTCATACCTAGAAACAATCATTAAGGGACATGCTCGCGATTGTCCCGGGAAGTACGTGAAAAGCGAGTCGGGATGCCACTTGACGCGAGAAAAAAGAAGATCACCATCACTGAAGCGCGTTAATTCTAGCCAAAGTTACTTGAAAAACTCTGCAAGAGCGAGACGATGTCAACAACACCTTAGTCTGGGCCGCGAATAGGGACACCCGGGTTACGGATTCCGATACTTTTGACTTCCATGAGAATGGCAATGCATTTCTACAGAAAGCAGGAAGCACGGTGTGGTCAACTAATAAGAGCGGCAAAGGAGTTTCCGCGATAGAGTTGCGGGATTCAGGAAATCTGGTTTTGCTTAGGACGGACGGTACAGTGGTTTGGCAGAGTTTCGACCATCCTACGGATACGCTCTTATCGAACCAAGATTTCACGCAAGGGATGAGGCTCATGAGCCGCGGGTTCAAGAACTTGACCTGCACTCTCGAGATTAAATCTGGTGACATGATCCTTTCTGCGGGTTATAAAACGCCTCAACCGTATTGGTCAATGGGGAAGGACCTCAGAAAATTGAAGAACAAAAATGGTGGTCACGTAGTCTCTGCCACGATGGTCGCGAATTCATGGAGATTCTACGGTGAGAACAGGACTTTGCTGTGGCAATTCCTCCTTTGGGATAATACCAATCCTAATGCCACTTGGATCGCTGTCCTGGGGAAAGACGGGATCATCTCATTCTCCAGCTCAAGCGGTGAAGGATCGACTAATGCTTCTCCCGTGAAAATACCAAGTGATGATGCATGCAGTTTGCCAGACCCCTGTGACCCGTATATAGTCTGTCGTAACGGTAGCAAGTGTCGATGTCTCTTAGCCCTCACTTCTCATCCAAATTGTGGTTTGGGGTTGGGCTCTCCTTGCAATCACTCAAAGGCTTCTATTGATCTTGTTAATGCGGGGGAGGGAATCGGGTACTTTGCACTCAAGTTTGTCTCACCCTCGCTGAATGCCGATCTTGACGGATGCAAGACCTCTTGCCTGAATAATTGTTCATGTCTCGCGTTGTTCTATGAGAATAGTTCTGGAGGTTGTTACTTGTTTGACAATATTGGGGCCTTGCAGAGCTCTGATCAGAATTCTGGATTTGTCTCTTACATTAAGGTGTTCACTGGTGCTGGTACGAATGGCGGGAAATCTCAAGACAGCGGATGCGACGAGAAACGTTTGTTATATGTTGTCCAATTTTCTGTTTCCACGTTCTTCCTTGTTCTCGGTCTGATCTGTGCCGGATTCAGATATTCCAAAGCAAAGCCGAAATTGCCCGAAGCTCCTCAAGAGACTTTGGAAGAGGAGGAAAACTTTCTTAAGAGTTTATCGGGAATGCCAGTTCGTTTCAGCTATAAAGAGGTTCAAGACGCGACTAATAACTTTGTTGTATACAACCGCAAAAAAACAAATACAGAACACAAGGATTTACGTGATTCGATCACAAGGTGATCTACGGGCGAGGCAAAATAAGATTCCACTAAAATCAAAGATAGTACAGTTTCAGAAGTCGAAAAACGACTTAACAAAACCTCACGGCTCACAAATCTCTCACAAAACGAAAATCTCTGTCAATGAAAAAAACCTAGCTGCGGTATAAATAGTGCTCCCCAAAAAATTTCCTAGGGGCTACGCCCCCGAACCCCCCTGAGACATTTGTTCGCTTGCTCCAACTTAGGCGGTCCGCCATAGAGATTTGTTCACTTGTTCCGGGTTGGGCCGATAGGCCCAACCCGGAGCAAGCGAACTAAATCTCAATTTTTTCTCCACTTTCAGGTCGCACAAAAAATATGTCGAGTCGGGTGATGAACCAGACCGAGTACATAAAATTCAAGACATATTTAACAAACTTTTCCATGAAGCTAGGGCAAGGCGGGCTCGGCACGGTGTACCGAGGGTGCCTACCAGATGGGACGAGATTGGCTGTGAAGAAATTGGATGGCATCGGTCAGGGAAAGAAAGAGTTTCGAGCTGAAGTACGCAGCATCGGAAGCATCCGTCATCACCACTTGGTCAGGCTGAAGGGCTTTTGCGAGGAAGGAACTCACCGGCTTCTAGCATACGAGTACATGGCGAACGAGTCTCTCCATAAATGTCTCTTTAAGAGAGACAAGGAAGGCATGTTAGATTGGGGAACATGATATAAAATTGCCATAGGATCGGCGAAAGGACTGGCCTACTTACACGAAGAATGTGATGCGAAGATTGTTCACTGCGGTCTAAAGCCAGAAAACGTTCTTTTGATGAAAAATTTCATGCCAAAGTATCGGATTTCGGATTGGCTAAGCTAATGACGAGAGCAGGGTCGTGTTGTTATGACACTCAGGCATGAGAGGTTATCTTGAGCCGGAGTGGATAATCAACTGTGCCATATCTGAGAAGAGCGATGTGTACAGTTACGGGAAGGTTCTGTTCAAGAACTCGGCGGAAGAAGGAACTACAACCCGAGGAAACATCGGAGAAATCCTATGTCCCCCTCTATGCTTTCAAGATGATGGAAGAAGGGAAGCTGAGAGAGATACTTGATCCGGGTCTTGAGATCGACGAAAGAGACAGAGGCGGTTTCTATTCCTATTAAAGTTGCATCATGGTGCATACAAAAAGATATGAACCTGAGACCGTCGATGTTCAAAGTCGTCCAAATGCTTGAAGGTGTCTGTCCTGTTCCTCAGCCGCTGACTTCTTCCCCACGAGGTTGTTGATTCTTTCCGAGCTATTTCAAGCCAGAAGACCATAGCGACGCAAATCCTTCAGCAGTTCAGCTTTCAGGTCCAAGGTAACAGCAAGTTGTACTTCCTCGGGAATTTTTCTGCAGGGAAGTATGATCACAGTTTTTTCTCCTTGCCGTGTGTAGCAAGGGCTTTCAGAAATTCAAGCACAACTAGTTGATGATTCAACTATGACATTTGATGCATTGAGCCAAATTACATGGCTAGAGTGTGCATGGTCTTTGAGCTTACACGGCTATCCAGATTATACCACGTTTCCGTGCCAGCAAGTAGAATATGACAACAGATGGTACATCTCCGGTTGAAGGAACCACTCTGGAGGCTCAAAATTGCAGCTTTCAATGTAAAAGCAGTATCATTTCACATAGGGTCAACTGGAGCTAATTCCAACTCTTGAGAGACAATATTGGAAGAGCTGCATCAGTAGCTCGAGACATCGACAAGTGAATCGACTCTGCAAATTTTGGGGGTCCTTTGAAGTATAAAAGAGGCATAACCGTTGCATTGAAGATGTCTACAGGGATTTGCCTGCAAAAGTTTGAGTTCCCCTTGTACCGAGGGTTGATCAGATTGCAATGGTGAGGAAGAGAGATCTCTATGAACCAGGCATGCTCTTAATGTTCAGGATGTGCAGCTCTTGGGTTCCCGACCCAACCGTCAAAGTGTGCGATAAAAGACTTAGAAGATTTTATGAGTTATATCGAATCAAAATAAAGCGTTTTTACTCGGTGTCTCTTGATTGTCGGAAAGTTTTATGGGGATTCAAGATGGTTGGTCTTCTTAATCTTACCGGTTAGCTTGAAATTACTCCTTCAGTTCTCATGCTAATCACCAATGCGATTTCGACTAGCTCACAGAATTGTTTAAATGATCTGAATACCCAATCAAGTAGTCTAGTGAATCACCTTCACAAGTCACCCTGAGATCAGTTACACTTTCCTACTGTCAAGCGTCTGTCCGTGTCCAATGACGGTCACAAGTTTCAGCTGTTCACTAGCCTAGCCCTGATGAAGGATCACCCAAAAGAATCAAGAGTTATTATACTATTATAACTCCCTTCTGAAAACTTGAACAGGGTTGATCGGTTCTTGAACATGCACATAAAGGAAATGTCTTTTAGTAAAAGATCAAAGTTAAGTACGTCAAAATTAGCATGCAAAATCGGTATACTAAGGGATGTAGCGAACTCTTATCAGGTGTTGAATATGGCATGTTTGTTTAAATGTCGAATTTGTCATATAACTTAGCATACAAATTATGTACATCGATATTTATAGAATTATAATTAAAATGAGTCGTGCTTAGGACCCTGTAAAAGTTTGTCACGTTATTCTGTATATTGATTTCGCAAATCGATTTTTGTATGAAACCAAGAAAAAATTGTTTCAGTTCAGTCTCAATTTTTAGCTGATTATGCCCCAAAGCTTGTTCATGGAGGGTTTTCTTAAGTGTTATTAGGTGTATCAAACAGGATTTTGTCACATTGTAAGAACAATGCCTGGACATATTGTCTATATACATTAATGACTGCTGTACTGTACCTCCATTTTTTAACGTATCTTTTCCTCCTTTTTTTTTGTGGATAGAAAACATTTTATTGCCTGAAAAAGAACCAAATTACACATTTTCATCTCCCCAGATATTTCTGAGACATCAATGGGCCAAAACAGGTCCCCCATATTAGCATTTTCTTTATGTTTTGTGGGGATTCCCAACTTTCACTGATTGAATGATCTTTGAGAACAGTTTTCTGGATAACACCTAACAAGTTAGGGTGTCACTTCATGAGAAACTCTCCCATCTTGGCCCCTACTTGTGAATAATTGATATTTCTGATCTACCCTTTTGTTGTTGATGAAGATGATGCTAACCAAAGGGGAAATAAAAGTACTTTTCTTTAGGGAAATTGCACAACAAGATCTTCTAAATTGCTGGAAGACCCACCTCAATGGGTCACAAGATCAACAGCAAGAAAGTACTTGTGGTGTTGCTTTTTGTTAGCACTAACAAAACTCATACCTAGAAACAATCATTAACGGGACATGCCCACGATTGCACTGGTAAGCACGCGAAAAGCGAGGTCGGGATAGCACTTGATGCGAGAAAAAGAAAGATCACCGTCACTGTAGCGCGTTAATTCTAGCCGAAGTTACTTGAAAAACTCGACAAGAGCGCAAGATGATGTCAAGTGAAGGCAAAGCGATCCATCGTGGATAAACATTCGCCTCGTGGATTGAGATTCGGGTGTAAAGGAACAAACAACAAATGGTCTGTCTGACATGAAAGAAATCAAGTTGCAGAAGAATGGGACATCCTTGTTGAAACTGAGACATATTGAATTAAATAGAAAGACGGTCAACTTTGGTAATTTGCTGGTCAAAAACTCCGGAGTGGTTGGAGCCCATGCATTGTCACATTCTTTGTCTTTGACATTTACTTTTCTGGAGAGGCTATTTCCACACCTAACATGACTATTTCCTTCGAGATTTACCAAAGAGACGAAATCGCCCTTTTAAAAAGTCTTCGCTAATTCCTCGGAATCGCCCTTTTAAAATATCGAGCAGTGCTAGAAAAAAAGAACATTATAGTAAGTGTTACCGCGTCTAAGAGTTAATACCACGAAAAACTCCAAACTGGTATATTTGTGATAAATTTATCCCGAACTAATTTTTTGATTACAAAAAACCCCGAACTGGTAAACCAATTACAAATTTATCCAAAATAATTTTTTGATCACCAAAAATCCAAACTTATGCACTTGTGATAAATTTACCCTCCGTTAAATTGGATTAATACCACGAAAAATCACAAAATGGTAAACATGATAAAACCCTAATTTGCCATGTGTCATCCAACTCAGTAATTTGACGGTAAAATTTAACGAAAATTAACGAGGAAAATTTATCACAGGTGTACCAGTTTGGGGTTTTTGGTGATAAAAAAATTAATTTTTAAGTAAATTTATCACAAATGTACCAGTTTGATGTTTTTCGGAGTATTAACCCTGTATTTAATTGGTTTCTTCAAGCATGACAATTAAGACTAGGTAGTTGGCTTGGTGCCATCGAGGAAAGTATATTTCATCACTTTGTGCAGGTTTACACTTTACATTTTAAACAAGAAAATACAACTTACTTAGTGTTTTCAATTCAATATTGTTGATCGAAATTTTTACGGATTAAAATTAAAAATAGAGAGAAAAAAACACTAGTAATAAACTAAAAAGTGCTGTGGGCCACTTCATATCAAAAAATTAATTATATAAAGGGTTAATATCACGAAAAACTCCAAATTGGTACACATATGACAAATTTACCTAAAACTAATTTTTTGACCAAAAAAATCATAAACCGGTACATTTATAACAAATTTAAGTTGGATTAATATAAAAAAAAAATCACAAACTGGTACACCTATAACAAACTAAGGTTAAAACCCCAAAACTAGTACATCCGTCAACTGCCATGTGTCATTTAACTTAGCAATTTGACAGTAAAATTTAACGGAAACTAACGGATGGTAAATTTGTCATAAGTGTATAAATTTGGGATTTTTCGTGATATTTTACTTTATATAAATAATAAAACTTTTCCAGAATTTTTTTTGTTTCGAGTCTTGTCTTGTTCAATGTATCATTTTTCCAACACATGTGATAATACGTACAAGAAACACAATGCCAATTTCTTATCCTTCGACACCTTCGTTTCAAACCCTCAGCACAAGTCGTGTGGACTTTTCTTGTTGTTCCTATTATCGGTCCGGTCGAATGCTCTTAGAAAAAACACAGTAGAGAATACAATATAAATAAATAAAAGAATCTTGTTAGTAAAATGATTCTGATTCCTCATCTTGTGGAAATCATGTGTTTTTTTTTCTTTTACAATTTCTCTTTTCTTTTCAAGTTCTGTCTTGAAATAACAGACGACATGCCGGCTCGAAAGGAAGTAAGCGATTGAAATGCTAGTCGCTTCGAGAAGTTCGATGACTGGGGCTCCGTCTGTTTGGCGGAAAGTGAATGGTGCGGGAAATGTTTTCTTAAAAAAATCGCTTTTATCGCTTGAAACAATTAAATTAATAAAAAATATTTCATCATTGGCAATAATTTATATCTAGCTATTTTCGTGAGCAATGAAAGTATTTCCGTTTATTCATTTTTGCAAGCGTAAGCGATCATTTATAAGAAAATATGTTTCAAATCATTCATTTTAGAGCATGTTTTGAAAATATTTTTCTAAAAATGATCACTTCTATCGTTTAACAAATGTTTAGACATAATTATTGTTGATGATAAAAATATTTTTCATTAAGTAATTATTTCAAGTGATACAATCAATCATATTTAGGGAAAAAAGTTTCCGAACCATTCGTTTCCCGCCAAACAGACGGAGCCTGGATGTCGTGATTTTAGGGTTTAGATTGACGCTCTTAACCTGCTTCCCCGTTGAGACGATCCCGAACTCGGATCCGTTAAAAAGATTAACCATAGACTAACCATAGAAAAAATCGGGTACCAAGCGGAAAAGGGTAAAAGAGAATGAAGAGGATGTTGGTGTGACATTTCATTAGGTCGATGAAAGTGACAAAGGGATCATCCTCTCTACTCAACAATGACACTTCCCTTAGAAATCTCTATAGTCTCTTTCCATCAATCTCTTTCTCAAAGGAATAGAAACCAATGCTTCTTCCCATTGCTTTCGCTCGTAGATAAGAATCATCCGATGGCTCGCCGTGCGACGAAAGTTGCTGAACTCCATCGTTACCGTCGCTTTTAGTTTTTTCTCCTAGACTCTTGAGTATCACGGGAATCCGGACTTCAAATTTATCACCATTTAATTTCCGGCTTCAGCGGGTCACCGTGTGACCCGACCCCGACCCCCGACCCCCGACCTCGACCCGACCCGCGTTTGCACGTTAAAAGAAAAGTGATTAGTTGAAAATACCATATATATATTTTTTGATAGAAAGAGCTTCGCTCTGAAATATCTGTCAAAAATTGGGAAGACTATCAAAAAGTACTAAACTTATTGCACTATAGTATTTGTGCCAATTCAGTCTTGAACCTTTCAATTGTGTCAATTGAATCCTAAACCTTTTGACAATTTATCAATTATTGTCATTCCGGCCAATTTTGGCCGAAAATTGCTAACGATGGACGCCGGCGTCCTACATGACAGGACCGGCCCTGACATGAACAATTTTTACAATTTTAATTAAAAATGCAAATTTTTTAATTATTTTTTCTTTCTTTTTAATTTTTCTTCTTCCTCCACTAGTCGTCGAGGCCACGACAAAGAAAGAAGGAAAATAAAAAAAGATTTAATTTTTTTTTAATTATAAAAATTGTCCAAGTCAGGGTTGGCTGTGCCACGTAGGACGGCCGACGTCTACGTCAGCAATATCCGGCCAAAATTTGCAGTATGACTCAATTGATAAATTGTCAAACGATTTAGGACTCAATTAACACAATTGAAATGTTTAAAATTGAATTGGTACAAATACGATAGATTTGGAACTTTTCTGATAATTTTCCCAAACTTACTCGGCCAACCCATGTCGCTACCGCCGCCGCGGCCGGGGCTGCCAAGGCCAAGCGACGTCGCCCCCGCCACCGCATAATTGATTCGTTTAATCCTCTCGAGTAAGTAAATTAAAGCAGTCTAAATAATAATTTCCTTCATTTTTTTTCCCGACAAGTTAAAAGGTTCTCTTTTTTTGCCTTACCTGGACATGGATGCACCGGGTCCCACCGACAGAAACATCCAAACGCCGCCACGTGTTGGGGGGCCCGCGGTCGAAGCTCTCGGCCAATCAGGCTTCGGGAAGGAGCGGCACCGCACGTGCAAACTGCTACAGAATGTCCTTGCGAGGCGAGATCAAAAAAGGAACAGCGAAATTGAATACCAAGCGGTATCTTAATCAATCACCAATGCTTATTCAAAAACTTGCATTTTGATTTAAAATAATCTTACCTAAACTCGGTTTTATTTTTCCCGGCGTCGCTCTCACGTAGCATTCTCAACCTGCCAAACGCATTGTCCCGCACCACGGAGTTCTTTAATTTCAAATATTTCGCTCGTCATCATCGTACAGAAGGCTCGGGCAAAATCGAATAGGGCGGCTACCTTAATCATGGCTATATTGACTGAAATCGGGATATCGCGTGGACTAAACCCGAGATCTTTTCCTTTGCTTAATGGACTAAATTGCCTTCGCGATAAGCTAAAGCCACCATGGAATAAGTATGGAGACAGGTTGGATGACAAGAGAGATAAGGATTGCCCAACTTATTGCCACTATGCTTACCCGTCTATTATTGCACTTTGGTTAATGGGGGGGGGTTCAATAGTCGCGTTGTGGACCATTGGGGAATAAATGTGGATATATTCTAGGGTCTTTTTACAATTAATTTTTTTTATTATTTTCCTCTAATTTTTTCGTAATTTTGATATTTATAGATTTAAGAGAAAATATATACAATGTATTTATATGTCTTGAACATGGAAACAAATAAGAAAACATTAACGCAAATTAATGGGGAAAATTATAATAAAAAAATTGTAAACATATTGCACTTGTGATAATTCAATCACAGATATTTTAATTTGAATAATTTAGTCCTAATTTTGACAATTTGTCAATTGAGTCATTCTAGCCAATTTTGGCTGAAAATCGCTAATGTGGACGCGATTATTTTACGTGGCACGACCGGCGTTGACACAACAATTTTTATATCTTTTTAAATTTTTTTCTTCCTTTTTCATTTTCTTTTTTTTCTTTTCCTTTTCTTTTCATTGTGGCGGGAGAGCTCGCTAGCCGCAAATGCCTCTCCCAGATCTGGGTTAGGACTGACTCGCTCATGGCCGACTAGGGCCTGCTCAAGGGCCGCAACCATCGACAAGGCTCGGCAAGGGCTTGTGGGCCTTTGCCCAGTGGCCGGAGGCCCAAAATGAAAGAAAAGAAAAAATAATAAAAATGAAAAATTGTCCATGTCAACATCATCCGATATCCACGTCAGCAATTTTTCAGCTAAAATTGACCGGAAGGACTTAATTGACAAATTATTTTAATAATGAAGGACCAGATTGGTCAAATTTAAAAGTTTAGAACTGAATTGATATAAGTACAATAAGTTTATGATTTTTATGGTAATCTTTCCCAAATTTTATGTGTACGCGCCCTTCGATGAATTTACAACTTTACTATAGATAAACAATAGAAGTAATTTTTCAACAAATTTATGTGCATGCGTTCTTTCATGAGTTTATAATTTTACTATGGATAAATAATAGATGTGCGTGGTTATTTAAGGAAATAATAACGCACTATAGTACAAAGTAAAATTAATTGGGACCATTCGAGGTTTTTTGTGGTCCGATAAATACAGTGTCGGTTGCATTTTAATGCTACACACGTTGTCGTTTTTAGGCTCCCGACAGGCTGAGCCTATGTTGGTCAGTTTGTCAAGCCATCCACATAAAAAAATAAGATAATGTAATTGCTTCTCCCCAAATCAATTAGTATATATGAAAAATGCGCAATAAAATAATATTCGAAGGAAGCCCAGCTGCATAAATGAAATAATGAAATTCATTATTAAAAAAATGATGGGATTATATTTTTTTGGACAAGAATATTTTTAATTTATGAGATTAGTCTTTCGATATGAAAAGGTTTATTGAAAGACGATAATTATATATAAAGAAACGGAGGCTGTAATATTCGCAAATAGTTAGGTTGGATAATTATGTGAAAATCGAACCAATCTATCGCAAAGTTTTATGTAGTTGACCCGCATGTTCATTAGCACGGCTTGTGGATATACGGTTTGAACATGCGTTCCAGAGACGCATTTGAAAATATTATCTTCGATAATCTCTTTTCCTAGTACAATGCTCACAACAATAATATTTTCATTGATCATTGAATTAGAGTATAGAAAAGCACGAATAAATACAAAATACCACATATGATGCCAAGACACATCATATGCAATGGCGCTCCTAGGGGTACTAGTGGTGGCCCCCGTCCCCCCTATGTTACAAAATTTCAAATTCAAAATAATTTATTCTTTTATATATACGCGAAAAATGTTTATCTTGCCCCTCTCTCCGGCCTCAATTTCTCTGTCCGCCATTGATCATATTACTTTGCTTTCTGCATGACGTTATCTTGGGCTCCGTTCGTTTCGAAAAAAATGAATGATTTGAAAAGCATATGATCTCTTATATCGCTTGAAATAATTAGTCAATGAAAAATATTTTCATTCTCGACAACAATTTATGTCTGAACATTTTTGTGGATAATGAAAAAAATTTCATTCATTTATTTTTATAAACGACACAATTGATTATTTTTAGGAAAATACTTTTCTATTCATCTATTTTTCGCGAAACAAATGGAGCCTTAGCTTTAATTAGAATTGCCAAATATGTTCAAATATAAATTCCTAGAATGTCCATGTATAGGTAATAGCATCAAGATGCTACACGATGTAGCATGGTTTTCATAAGCCATTTTTTCAGATTTTGAGAATTATTTTTCATTAGATTCGATGTAAACTTATCCAACCCTTTGGTCGATAGTAAGGATCAACCCTTTTTTTTATTTATTTATTTGGCACGTTGAAATCCTCGCTTTTTGCAAAATAAATATTATCAATTAGTGTTCTAATTTGAGTTATATGAGCCATTCCACTTTACACAAAAATCTTGCAGCACAAATGAGGCCATTAGGAATTTGATTTTCACAATTTGGAATTGAACCACAATGAAAAAGGCTAGTAACCTTTGGTCATATTTTTTTTTCTTTTTCTTTATATTTGGAGTAATAATTTCACTTTATTTGATTTGCTCTAGTTTATTGTATTTCATTTGTTAATTATATAAATACATGTAAACAAAATCATAACAAAATTTAATTAACAAAAGGATGGTGCCATGCAGTTAAAGATAGTGTCATCTCGTTTTTCTTTTAGAACCTACCCCGAACTGAAGCCCGACAAATTTCGAACACACTTGACTCCTGAGAAACCCTAGCCATCAAATAAAAATTTAGTTCGATTGTAGAAATTATATCTTTCTATTGTATCCACAGTCCAATATAAAAAGAATAATTTGATAGATATTAAAAACAATTTATAAAATTAATCTCGATTTTTTGGACAGCCTGTCTCAAACCGAAGTCTTGACAAAAACAATGCTTGGATCCCAAATTGTCAAATTTTATTCAACACATTTAATTCGACTATAGAACATAAAACGTTGTCCGGTGTCCACAATCCATCATAAAAAAGAATGATATAGTAGATGTTGAAAACAATTAACAAAACTTATCTTGATTTTTAAGACAACCCGTCTTGCACCGAAAGTCCTGACAAATTGCAAACCAAACTCAAACCTCGATCAATCCCACTTATCGAATTTAACTTTGCTATAAAAATCATATCATTCTATGGTGTTCACATTCTTTAATAGAATTAATTATATAATATACGTTAAAATCAATTTACAAGATCAATCTAAATTATATGATAAATTTTTTTAATTATCTGAATATGATTCACATAAATTTTATCTGAAATTGCTTAGTTAGTCTAAAATGAACTTCCTCTTTACACAAAAATTAGTTTTTTTTACAGAGAAGAAAAACAAGATTTGCGAAGAAAAACAAGATTTGATGACTTTGTTGTGGGTTTGTACTAACGTACTCGTGTGGGTTGGGTTGTGTATTGTGTACAGCAACAGTTTCATAAAAAAAAATCCGATTTTTATTCTTAAACCTGTCATATTGGTCTTTGTCTCGAGTATTCGGATCCTCCGATCCCGTCCGTCATCCATCCGCCTAGCTCCTGGCTCTTCCTACAGATCCCTCTCTGTATTTTTCCTGCTCCTCTGCAAATCTCCCACCCCATTACTCAATCCGTTAACACAGCTCTAATGGAGTCTTGATTATCCGCACGCTCATTAAAAGGTACTGAGGAAGATTTCCGACTTTGGTTTGCCTCTTTTCTCTTTCCTTTTCTTTTCTTTTCTTGGGTTTTCCAAGAAAATGTTCTTGGGTTGGTCTGTGATTTGACATTTGAAGCGTTGGCTCCAACGATTCTTGAAGCCGTCATCTGCTTCTCCGGGTTCACTTCGTTAGTGGGTGTCGCATTTTCGGGGGGCTGCGTGTTGTTGAGAGAAGATCAATGCGGAATGATTGGAAGTGATCCTCGGAAATGTGCCCATTTTGTGTTTTTTGAGGTTTGCCGGTTCAATCTTTAGTGGGTTTTGTCAAAGAGAGCTTTTTTGGCTGATTCGAGTGGAAAAGATCTGGTATTTTGTGCTTTTTAGCTCAAGTCCTCTTTTTGAGGTTGTGTTTTTGTACTTCTTCTGTGCTGATAACCCCCAATTTTCTGGGGTTAGCTTGCGATTTGGTTTTGTGGGTGTTGGCTAGTGGTCATGTAATGTGCTTTCAGCTGCTCAGAGAACTCACGAAGTGCATACAGAATCACGTCTCGGTGTTTGCTTTTTGCTGTTCAATGAAGAAAAAGCAACAGAGTGTTGAAAGAAAGTAAGAGTTGGGAAACTCGAATGATATAAATCATTCTACCTAGTAGAAGTGTTAATCGGAGTTTCTCGCGATGTAGATTTTTTTGTACTCTAGGTTCGGTTGTCATGTTTAATGGGTACTTAATCAAAGACATTCTTTGACAGATGTGCAATTGCATTATCTCACTTCTTGCTTTCTGGTGTTTATGGTTAATTTCTAATATTCTGTGTTATACGTAAGTTGGAAGTTTGAACATATAGTCAGTTTAGTGGCAATACTTCCGTGCTTTTATTCTGCTGAATTTCCACTCAATGTTCGAGTAGGGTGGTGTTTTACTTATTTCTGAGAGTGTTTATGCCTTATTATCTATTTGGGGATCAATTATTTTCATTTGTTTGAGAATCCACTTGACATTTGAGCTCACATTTTCATGTTCTGTTGTCCTTAGAGTATATAACCAATGGATTACGAGGATGTCATACCTACCAATGGGTTTGAGTCAGCTCATCAGAATGGCATGCATGGGCAATTTTTGAACAATGGAGAGGATGCTATTGCTGTGAGCAATACCAATGTCGTTGCAGAAACTGCAGATCTTGTCGCAGTAGAGGCAAACTTACACGAGTTTAAGTTGGATGGCAGTGGCAATGACAAGAATTTTTCTACTGGCTGTGCAAGAGAGATTGATGTATCAAAAACCCATAAGGTGGACTAGTCCCATAAGCTTAAGATTCTTCAATATACAACTTAATATCTCATTCTAAAATGCATCTATGTGTGACCTTACAGGATGGTGAAGCAGTTACTGGGGATAAGTTGAAAAATTCTGGACCTCAGAAGATTGAAGGCAAGAAAAGCAATGGGAAGATCTCAAACACCAAAGTTGCTTCGACAATCGGGGCAAGGAAGAGTAAGGATGGAAAGAATGTGGAAGCTGTTGGCGTGAGTTCACAGACAAAACAACCTGCTGTAAGTAGATCATTTAATGAGAGAGAAACCCAATCAAAGGTAATTCTCATTGTTGTCGTGATATGTCATTTTTTTTTCCTTTTCTGTGCTTCTACATTCCAATGTCATGGTCCTCAGTCATTCATATCATTGTTTTTTTTGCCTTATCTTTATCTTTTGCTGTTTTTCTGCTTCCGACAGCATGGTGGAAAATCTGATGCAGCATCCTCAGAAAGCTTTACGTAGGTCTATCTAACCTGTACAGTTTTATTTCTAGTGTAGTGGAGTAGTTAACCATTCGTGAACTTGTGGTGCTTAAATTGTTATCGTTATAAAAATTCTTGGATGCTTACCAGTTTTTGCCAATGGTTTTGTTTCTTTTTAATGTAGAACTGGATTTCCTTGTTTTCTGTCAAATCATGGGAGTCGTATTCTTGAGCTTCTTCTGAATGGTGGTTTGCTGTATATGCAGAGAGAAGACAAAATTTAAGCCCTTGAAAAAAGGATCTCTTGATAAACCAGAGGCCGATGCTCAATCTTCTTCGTATCCTTTTTATCACTGGATATATAAATTTTCCGAAGCAGTAGAATGAGGTCATCTGAAAGTTTTCCAAGCGGTCAGAACATTCAGACAGTTTTTAAATCTGTTTAACCTTGACTATATGATAGAAGTCCTACTGCAGGAGATTCAAAACCACGCAGATTTGGTGCACTTCCAAACTACGGGTTCAGTTTTAATTGTGATCAACGGGCTGAGAAACGAAAAGAGGTTTGTTTCTGATCGTGAACCTTATGAGCATTTTCTGTGGTTTACTCCAGCAAGATCTGCGCAATCGATATAGTTTTTCAATCATGACCTTTGGCAGTTCTATACTAAGCTTGAGGAGAAGATTCATGCTAAGGAAGTTGAGAGGACTACATTGCAAGAAAAGTCCAAGGTCATAATTGTGATTGCTAGCAGTTTTTATGGAACGTTGATATTTAAGTTACTTATAGAATCACTTTGTTTGAGGTTGTCTCTTGTTTCTTCCTTTAGGAAACTCAAGAAGCCGAAATTAAGATGCTCAGGAAGAGTTTGACATTTAAAGCTACACCAATGCCGACCTTCTATCAAGAACCTCCTCCAGCAAAGGCAGAACTAAAGAAGGTTTCCTTTTCTCCCTTTTCTCATGAATGCCACTAGGTAGAAGCATTTCTTTTGTTGTTGTTGCAAGTGCCAAAACATTTATCACTGGCTCTCTTCGTTGTGAAATACATGTCCTGTTGAGTGGTGGGCATTTTTTGTCTTCATGTCCTATATCTTTCATTGTTGGATGTTTTTTCTCTTTCCCATTTGCGATCCATCTTCTTATCCCACCTCTCATTTCCCCCTTCCCCATCTTCCCTAGCAAAGCATTTGTATCATGATGCTACTTAATCATAATTTTCTCCGATTATCACATTTTTATAGTATGTGCTGCAGTCATTTTGTTAGCTGCAATGTATTTCATCACCCATCCATTCAACTCTCAATATTGCAAAATGATTCAGATACCACCAACAAGAGCCAAGTCTCCCAAGCTCGGTCGAAGGAAGACCTCCAACACAGATGAATCTGAAGAAAATGGTGGTGCAAGCCGGCGGTCGGGCCGCTTGAGCCTGGATGAGAAGGTGTCTCGCGACAACCTTGCCAAAGGACCTTCTCCTGCAAATTCTAAGAGGCCGCTTAGAAAGTCACTTCCTAAACTGCCTTCTGAAAAGACCACTTCGTCAGGTGGGATGGCTAAAACTGTGAAAACAAAAGATGTGGAAGGAATGAACTCGTCAAGCACAAGAATGGAGGAAAAGTTTGACACTTTAACTGAGATGTGTGAAGCTGCTGCTGCCAATCAAGAGCAGGAGGCAATTCCCACCGCCGAATTAAATGCATTGCATGTTCACTCAGAAACTGTGCCGCCAGTCCAGGAGGAGCAACCATAGCCCATCTTTGTGGAGGAACCATAGATTCTGAGACATGGGAATCACAATGTAGAATTGGTGCGGACAAAAGTAAGAGAGGTATGAGAATCAAATTGTACTGTAAGAACAGGTGGAGAATTTTCTTTTACCGAAGATCACGCCTTTGTGTTCACAGCAGACTTGGGTTGCTTCGTCTGTGCTTCTAAAGATTGCTTCTCCTTGATAGAATATTCACTAGGCCCTTCTTTGTTCTTAAGTCACTATATGACACCTTTTGTGCCAATTTATAGTACTGTAGTATTTTCTGTTTGTTACTCTCATTGTCAGTCTGATAAATTTTTGGGACAATGGTCACTACAATGTCAGCCGAATATTTTTTTTTTTGAAGCATTTTTCTTGTCCAGCTCGGTCCGTCAATTAAATAAGATGGATATGCAATGCGACAATGTCTTGGTTATGTGAGTTGGTCATTACATGCTAATGCTTGTTTTTGTTGTAACTGAAATCATGTGAAAAGGTTTGCTTTGAGGGGCACACTAAAGGCTCATTTGAAGTGCTGAAATCCTTATATACTGAAAATGAAAATAAAAAGGTGTTTGCTAATAGGTGAAAATTGAACAATAAACTTTACTAGTTTCTTGCCAAATATGGAATAGTGAACTCCACTCTATGCCATTCAATAAGAGGTTCTATATCGGTTTTTCATTTAACCTCTGTTGCTATAGTCAGTGGCATATCTTGTTGATAGGTTCTTGCTGTTCAAAGTTACAAGGATAGGATTCATTGTGACAATTCTTTTCCTTTTCTTTGTGGTGCTTGGAGAGAATGGATTAGCTTCATATATGTCTGAACCTATGACTTAACATACAGAAGTTTCGTGACTTGGCACTTTCTTGATTAATAAAACCCCACCGGATGCCTCCTAGTCTATGTCAATTTGTTAAAATTCAACTCATCTTAGGAAAAGAGTTATGTTTCTCTCCTATCCCTTATACAGACCTAATCAGCAACCACATATAGAATTGCCCGTGCACCTATTCCCATTCTTGACCAAGGAACATGGTATCTTGCAATTTGGGGATTTCACCTAAGCTGCCATTTTCTTTGGGTGTCAGAAGCTGCTTTTTTGAAACTGAATGTATTGTTTCATTTCTCTCTTTTTATGCATACGGTTGATATCGCCCATCCATTTTTTCCTCAATTGTTAATAGGCCATTTTTTTTTCAATTAAATCATGTTGTCTGGAGTTAGCTAAAACCATGCATTAGGGTCAGTTGAAGCATGCTTGGCTCTTTCTCTTTGTTCTCTTTAGAGTAAAGAATATTCCCTCAGGAAATTCAAGAGGAACAGGTCACAACAAACCTCAATGAAAATTTAAATACTTAATTGAGAAAAGAAGAGTGAACCACAGTACAAGACAGGAATAGGGGAACAAAAAAAGGGTCTCTCTCGGCCTCCTTTTCTCTTTTTTGGTTTATCCTTTCCTTTTGACTTGAACTATCAAAGGAGACATGTTGCTCTGAGATATTATCAAATGCTTCCATGAGAGAACATGCAAGGGTAGGCTTATCCTTAGGAGATTCTTTTTCATTGTTTCCACCATTTCTTAACCAGATTAAACCAAGAAAAAGCACTTTCCTTGAGAACTTTTATCCAGAAAATCCTTCCACACAATTTTTCTTTTGTAAACCTTCCAATCTGGAAGACTTTTACAAGCATGTTGGGAGAGGTGAAAGAGAGGGCTGCTGAATAATAGTAATTAGAAGAGTTCAAATGGCTCTTAAGCAGCAGTTAGATTAGAGATAGTATGAGGGTGATCAGTTGAGGAATTAGATACGCAAGTTTCACTAGTTTTAAATCCTTGTTCTTCCTCTGCCTCATGATCACGATCACGATCACCAATATCATCTTCTTCTTCTCCAGCATCCCACAGGAATCGAGCATATGAGGCAAGAACATAACTGCAACCGGAATACCGAAAAACACGTCCTTAGTATTTGAGACAACATGGTAAGAAAGTTTTGAGAACAAATTTCAGGGATCATTGTAACAGAGTGTGAAAATACAGATTTACCAATCGCCGGGAGCAGATTGAACAGCTTGATCGAAATAGCTTTGAGCACGAGGGCCATCTTTGTGTGTAGTCCATATCAAATCGCCGTAGAGAGATAAAACATCGCCATCGCCATCGCCATCACCATCTGTTGGCTCATCACTCCTTTGGGCTAATATTGCTCTTTCACAGTACTCCTCCGCTTTCTCCGCATCGCCCTGTACCTAAAAAGAAAAATTCATGCTAAAGATGATATCTAAATCAAAAAGCTAATTTGACACGAACTCACAAAGAACACGATGCAATTAACTCGATATTAACATATTATTAATTATTATGCAAACCCTCTATAGAGATTACAAGAATTAGTACCTCTTTCAAGAACCTTGCATAATTTCCTAGAAGAAGAGCATCACCAGGATGAGCTTTGATCATCCTCTGATAGTACCCATCCAGGCTCTCACTCCCTTGTCCCCAACCTCCACACCGGTCTCTCCCCCCATCGCCACCTCCGCCACCGCCATCAACGCTCCCCATGCCACCACCCACCAGAACATTGCACTTTTTATCCACCAGTGCCTCACTCAACCCAGAACAGCTCCACATGCTCCAAAACGGCGACTTCTCGGCACAAGCCTGATTCTCGCCGTATTTCTCCTCTTCTTCTTCTTGTTCTCCGTCTCTTGGCTCCTGTATCAGAATTAAAGAGGACCCTTTTGAGGAAAGTCTCTTCTTTGGCTTGAGCAACTCTCTCACATCCTTCTCCGATGACGTCATCGATATCTTCTTCTTCCTCTCCGTGTCAGACAAAGCAGAGGAGGGGGAGAGATTCAGGGAAAAGGGTCGGCTTGTTGGGATCCGAAAGGTCAGTTCGTGTTCAGACGATGTCTGATGAATGCATGATGACGGCTTGAGGATGCGAGCGGACGTGCTTCTCAGAAGCATCTTCTTAGATCTCTCTCTCTCTCTCTCTCTCTCTTTCTCTGGTTCTTTTCAGCTTATCTTGTTCCTTTCTTCCCTCTTGAAACCCTTCTCTCTGGGTTTCGGAGAGAGTAAAGACTCAGATCTCTCTGTCCTGACATTGCGTTAACTGAGATAGAGGCGCTTTTATATGGTTGACGTGGGAAAGAAAACTCAGAATTCTACGCAAAACGTGCTGACGAAAATAAATCAATTACAGTTAAAATACAACTTCCTCCCTTCTTTTAAGATCCATGGAAGATGTCTTCATGCATGTCAATTCATGTGATCCATGTAAAGAAAAACATAGTAAGATATCGACGACGAATCATCTTCCATCACGAATCAGTTGAAACCCCACAAGTCGTGTCAAGGTTGAATCGGCCATGTTGTTGTCGCGTGAAATTTAGATTTACTCATCATATTTTATCATGTTTGAGCTGTGTATTGTCCTTGTATCGAAAATCGTTGGCCCTTTCGTTTGGAGTAGTTCGAGGGAGGAAGATAAATTACGAAAAGTAATATCATTTGGGTATTTGTTGTGCATTTGTAAAAAAAATGCAAATTTTTATAATCTTTTCTCAGAACGATGATTCTAGGGGTGGAACTGGATTGAATTGGGAATTGGACCGAACTGGCTGGTTTTGAGCAACTGTTCTTAAAATTTGGAACTGGTGATTGTTGTCCGATTCCCGATTTCAAGCGTGGACCAAACCATCCGGACCGGCCCGATACTTTTTTTTTATTAGCCAGTTAATGATACTTGATCATATTTTATCACACCTTGGGCATCTTTCCACCAAGATTTTTATTTGAACAAAGATTCAAAACACTAAAGAATGAGACTTTAGACTAATATTGCAAAGAATAGGGGGAAAAAAGAGAGAGATATCACCGCCGGTCCCAAGACCCGATGGGCCGATTCTCGGTTCCAAAAACTGGGAACCGACCATTCTTATCCAGTTCTCGATTTGACCCACTTTGAAACTGACCCACCCTAAATGATTCCGATTAAAATAGAATATTAGATGATGGGAAAATTATTGGCTGTTAGATAGTCAATCCAGTGGTAGGCGGAAAAGGCACAGTATTTGCCAACGTGACTATATATACATGTGCTGAAGAAGTAATCGAATTAACCACTCCTTTATTTATAAGTTGTATTATTTATTTTTTTCAAGTTATTTATCCAAAATCGTACCGTATTTTTCACGTGATGGATTTGATCTGACTACTAAAGTTACGTGGGAGATGCAAATTATAAAATTTATGTATAAGGTAAGTGAAAGCAATAGTGTGATCACATCTCCACTTTTTTTGTTGAAGATAAGATAAGCCTCGTTGTGTCCGAGAGTGGTAAGTAAGCTCGGTGTAGATGCATCATTTTCTCTTTCAAAAACGGGGCACCATCCGATAAAAAAAATTGGGATAAGTATATTGGAAGTATTAAAATTTGTTCGAAAAATGCGATCGGGTCTTAAAACTTTCAAGTGGTGCACTTAAGTCCTTAAACTTATCGAATTTGTGTGATCAAATTACTCCGTCGACTTCGTCCGATTTGAGCGATGGAGAATTTTGATGTGGTATTTTTATTGCTTTATCAAAGATGAAGGTGTTGGTGTGGCCACCACACCTGTCATTTTAAAGAAAAAATGGCATTTTATTGTACTTTTGGAGACAATAAAATGGAAACTGAAAATTATTAAAGAAGAAATGCAAACATAAAATAAATAAAAAATCAGAGCGAGAAAGCAAAGTCCGAGAGTTGAAGATGGCGGTTTGCCATACTGATTACGCTAGTATAGTTGTCGACCCTATGAGAGCGTCCAGATGGGCTGGCCACCATTGTTTGGTCACCTCAAGGGCCGCTGGCCTTGCCTCCATCGCACGAGGGTCAACCTACCTTTCTATTGTAACGAAGGGTAGTGTTAAAATATTTATATAGTAAATCACGTCATCATCTAACATTTAAGCTTTTAGAATATTTGATAGAATGGTTTTACAAAATCTTACATTCTTTGAGAAATTTACTTCTTCACGCTATAGGTAAGAGACCACCCTAAATGTCCTTGATTGTTATAATCAAGTAAATTCAAAAACTAGAAGATGCCCAAATTCACTTCACAAGGTTGGTATCAAAGTTGTGCTCCCCACAACTGTCATTTCAATCGAATTCGAAGATGCCGAACTTGTCACGAACTGTCCACCCGATGCCCCTGTCAATATGAGTCAATACATGTGCAAAGTATAATGTAACATTTTTCCTTTTCACCGTGAAGTAACGACCCTTCCAAGGTCGCACACGCCAACGTCTCTTGTTGTGAGCTGTTTCACATCGCACCCTTCAACAGCTGTGGTGGTCACTTGAAGCCAAGCCTCGAGCCCATGCGTTCTTGACACACTGTTTTCTGAGCACGTCCTATGATCTTGATCTTGATGTGATGTGATTGTGAGAGCGGAAAGTGAGCCGTTCCAAAGAGATCAGGGCGAAAAAGATGAAGATAACGCCCCCACATCTACCAATCAATGCCCTTCTCACCAGCATGCATGTCAACCTCTCTCTCTCCCTCCCTCCCTCTCTCCCTCCCTCCCTCCCATGCCTCCTTGGACTGCAATGGACTTTTAACCCTTTAGCATGATGTTACATGCGACGACAGGGCAGGCCCACTTTTTGTCTTCGCCTCGCTCTCTCTATCTTTTCATTTGAGAAACCGATCAAAAGATCTCCGCCCATTTCCCTCGACATTGGTCTAGACATGTTCAGTTGATTCCTTGGTGTCCTCAGCTCCAATTTCACCCACGGTGGAGATGGGAGTTGCAAGTGAATACGGAGCTCTCGGCAGGCCAAAAGGGAAGTTTAGACGGTGCTTTGTACAGTTGGAATCAGAGAGTGCCTCGTTCTCGCACGCTCTCGTCTGATGTGAGACTTGGCTACGATAATCCTACTTTCTTTATAACGAGACGGTGATGCGAGTGTATACAGAGCTCTCGGCAATCCAAAAGGGAAGTTTCGTCGATGTTTTGCATTGGCGGAACCAAAGTACCTCGCTCTCGCACGCTCTCATCTGATGCGGAACTCGGCTACGATAGTCCTACTTTCTTCATAACAAGAAAGATTGTTGAGATTAGAGTCGCGTGAGATAAGCACGGAGATGAGAACTTTCCTTTGTCCTTGCATTCGCATGTGCACCGGGTTCTACTTTTCACGGTTAATAATCCCAGCTGCGCGATTTGCAATCGAATGCGGAGGTACGAAACGTGATTAAGAAAGAAGAGGCGTGCAAATCATGCAATTAATCACGTGCGAATCAATGTTAGGCAGTGGATTTTATTGGCATTGTTTGCACAAATCTATATCATGGCAAGAGATCATGGTGCCGATTGTGTTGTCAATTCGGGCTCCCGATGACATGTGCGAGAACAAAGTAGGCACACGTGGGAGAGAGACTCAAATTATGAACCATCTGCTTTGCTTTGGTCTGGCATGGCGTTGCATGAGTCCTGAGTTTGAACCCTAACGTATGATCTTATGCTTGCGAAAAGATAACACTTTCTGAAGTTTGTATTTTGTTTCGAGAGGGAAAAGTACCAAAAAAGTCCTAAACCTATTGCATTGGTACTAATTCAGTTATAAACTTTTCAATTGGACCCATTTAATGTTAAACATTTTCACATTGGTATTAATTCAGTCAATCCAACCAATTTAGATCGGAAATCGCTAACGTAGACGCCGACCATGCTACGTGGCATGGCCAGCGCTGATGTGGATATTTTAAATAATTTTTTAAAAAAGAATTTCCTTTTTTCTTTTTCTTTTTTTACTTTTCTTTTATCCTCCTCTTCCCTTTGTCTGTGGTCATTACTCGGCATAAAATTTTATTTTAGTGAAACAAAAAAAAAAATTCATTGGAATGCTTTGTTAGTTTCATTCCATCGGGGTGTCTCGCTTTTCATGGTCCATTTTGCCTTCCAAAAAAAAAAAATTTGGGGTCGTACAACTTCTTCATTTTTATATGTTAGATGAGGCGACGCAACAAACGATAGTTAAACAAGCAAATTCATTGATCTTCATTTTTATTTTTGAATTAGATACATTAGAAGTACTTGTCGATATAGAAACATATAGTAATCGAGTCTCCAGTTGTTGCCCATTAAATCTTTTAAAAAAGGTACACAAACACGCACATGTATATTCTATATTTACAATTTTACATATTGCGAGATTGGATGTCTTGAAGAGACGTGTCACCATTTTCGGACATTATTATTTAGAATAAGATTCTCAGAAAACGCTGATCGTTCTAATGCGAACACGAAAATGGGGACGTGGATTCTTGCTATCTAAGAATATAGTAAGTTAGGGTTGGCCTTTTTCGAATGTTTTAGTGGAATTAAATTTATCCTTTTAGAATGATCAACGATTTTAAAGATTAAACATGAATAATTTGAGAGATCTAACTATATTCATATTTAAAATTATCTATGGGGATAATGACACAAATAGTTCCTGAACTTTTAATTTGTTCAATATGGTCATTGAACTTTTGGTACATATTCAATTTAATCCTTGAACTATATGAAAATATTCAATGCAGTCCTTTCTGAGAGGACTGCATTGAATATTTTCATATAATTCAGAGATCAAATTGTGGGGACCACATTAAACAAATTAAAAGTTCAGGGACCATATTGAACATTCGATTAAAGTTCATGAACTACATTGAATAAATTAAAAGTTTTGAGATCAAATTACACATTGGACTAGAGTTTAGGGATTGTTTGTGTCATTTTCCCTTATCTAAATTAGTAATCTAGCGTGCCCATCCATATGTACCTGGCATCAAACACACGCATTGCATGTGAGGAAAGTAGTAAAGACAATTTTAAATAATAATAAAAAAGAAGAGATAAATTTTCAATTTTCAATCTACTTTAAAAGATGATTATATATTTTGTGGAACTGGTGAGTCAATTTGGTTACGAGGTGGGATATTTGGGTATTGCCTTTTAATTTACTGTTAACTTCTAAATTACGATTTTATCCATGATTTAGGATTTACAACTAAAAGTCATCTCGGCAATCTACTTCATCTTTTATGAAACTTTATAAAAAAAAAAAAGAGTTGAAATTGAGGATGAGTTTGTTTCGCGAAAAATAAATGATTTGAAAAAGATTATCCTAAAAATTATCTTTTTTTATTGCTTTAAATAATTAATCGATAAAGAATGATTTCATTACCAATAACAATTTATGTCTAAACATGATCATGGATGATAAAAATATTTTTCGTTCATTCATTTTTGTAAGTGATACAAGTGAAATCATTCATTTTTTACGAAATAAACGGAGTCTAAACCCTTTTTCGAATATAGTTTGTATATAGTATAGATATAATATTATATGTGTAGGGACCGTTTTGGAAGGACACGTGTCACTCCCTCCATCCTTTCTACTTCTTTACTCTTGTCTTATCTCTATTTTGCTAAAAATCTTTTCATGTCTTTGTCTCCCCCTTTCTCTTCCTTTATTTTTATTTTTATTTTTATTTTATTATTATAGTATATGATTACCTCTTTGATTTTTTCCTCCCTCTTTACCTCCTTGTTTCCCACTTTCTCTTCCCAATTTTTTTTAAAATTTCTATTGCACTATATAATTATAATTATCTTTTTTATTTTCATTTTTAGTTTAAAGGTGTCAGTTATGCCCCTTCCATTTTCTTTTGCACTTTATGGGTTAATGCCATACTTTAGTGAAATTATAATGAATCATTAGAGTGAGTCCACTTTTATTTTATCCAACACAATCTTATATATTTCTCCTTAATGCATTAAAATACATTCTATACATTTCTCATTTTATGTTATTTCTTTATTATATCCTCTTGAAAAAAATTTCTGCCTGATTCTTTTTCGCTCATCTTAATAATTACTATCAAATCCCAGCTTTAAAAAATTTGCAACAGTTTTGTCTATGAACTTATTACATTAGGATGGGAAAATGTCATTTATTTTCTTAATAGTGAATATCACATTATAAACCAAAAGTGAAACACTAGGAAGGGAATGAGTGAGTCCCCCAATTTGATCAATGAACAAAAACCTACAATAAATGGGTTTCGAGTTTTGTCAAGTGACCAATTTAGAAAGCTTAGCTTCAAAGCTTGAGAATGCACATTATAGTTAGATCATGAAAAAGTCAATTATAAAGAGGTGACGATATAAACTCTTTCTGTTCTACGTACCATATCCCAAAAAGTATACACCCAAATTTATAATTTCTTCATTTAAAAATAATTTAAAATTTGCTAATGAGATCATTGTGATATCTTCAAAACTTGTTTTCCATTGGAAAGTGAAATAAATAAATTTACCATTTTGTAATTGTTTGCTTTTGTGTCAAACTATATAAATTAAGAACGCGATTTACTCATGAAAAAAGTTTATTTTGCAGCGTTAGCGCACCGATTAATAAGAAGGCTCAGTCAAAAAACATTTATAGTCAGGCCACGTGCCAAAGTTTTAAAAATTCTCACCTGCCTACTTTCCTAAAAAATCCCCCAACTTAAGGTGAAGTCCTAATTTTGCCCCGAATTTTTTTTGTATTACAAAAAAACCCCAAAGTTTAGGTTCATTTCCAATTCTGCTATGAACTTATTTTTGTCTAATTAAACTCCAACTTTAGGTCCAATCCCAAATCTGCTCTAAATTTTTTTTTGTCTAAACAAAATCACCAATTTTAGCTCTAGTCCCAAAAAATTTTTGTTTAAAAAAATCACCAACTTCCAATCTAGTCTCAAATCTACCCCTGTTAGCTCTACATCTGAAATCACCGTGAGTTATTTTATGTAGCATTTCCACATCGGTAACAAATCTGTATAAGTAAGATGACGTGGAAAATTATCTTTATTTGATATAAAAATTAAGGAAATTATGGACAACTAATGGTGATTTTTGGCCGGTGGGCTAATAGGGGCAGATTTGGGATTAAAGTTAAAGTTGGTGATGTTTTTTTAGAAAATAAAAAAATTTCGAGGCAAATTTGATGCTAGACCTAAAGTTGAGTTTTTTTTTTGAACAAAAAAATTTTGGGATAGATTTGGATTGGACATAAAGTTGAGTTTTTTTTTTTAAATAAAAAAGTTCGAGGCAGAATTTGGACCAGACCTAAAGTCGAGAATTTTTAGAGAATCAGACCATCTTTTATATGTATAGACATCATTGATACATATAAGTTGTCAAAAGCTCACACATATTTACTTAATTATGTGTCATACCACCTACCCTATAATTAACTTACCTCGAACAATCCTCTAAGAGTATTTTATGTAAAATGTTAATTTGGATATATCTGAATATGAAAGACAACGAGCTAGCTAAATTCATTATTGAAAATTGTAGTTTGATTTTTTACATCGATTAACCATATAAAGGGATAACAAAGATGAAAATATTTTACTATTGATTAAACAACTATAATCCAAATTCTACATGATTTCACCGTGTTTCGAAAAAAATGTTATATGTAGATTGCGCTTGTTTGGCTAAGTTAGAACATTCCACCTCCTTATGCTAAGTCAGATCCAAAGTGCAAACTTCAAGATGGGGGTGCATCATCTAGTGATAGATGGGATAATTAGATAAATGGTTAATGAGCTTTAGCTCAATGTGTAATGTCGTCCATAAACTTTTAATTTATTCAATGTGATCCTTGCATTTTTTGTATATATTCAATTTAGTCATTGAATTATATGAAGACTTTGAGAGACAACAATGAATATTTTCATATAGTTCAGGAATTAAATTGAACATGTACAAAAACTCCAGAGATCACATTGAACAATTTAAAAGTTCAAGGACAACATTGTAGATTGAGATAAAGTTCATGGATCACATTAAACAAATTAAAAGTCCAGGGACCACATTATACAATGGGTTAAAGTTCAATGACTATTTGTGTCATTTTCCCTTGATAGATTACTAAGTAATGTAAATTAAAAGTAAATCTGAAACTTTATTTTTATTCTATATATATATAATATTTCATTTCGAACATATTCTAGAATTCCTAGAAAATAAACATTTCGGGAAGAAGGAAGATAAGCATCTCCCCGCATTCATTCAAATAAATACGATATAATTAAAGACAAAAATAATACCGCGACGGTCGATATTACTCATAAATTTTCGTTACTTTGTCAATTAAATAAAGCCGTCCGTATAACATTGCACAAAATTTACGTGAAGTGTTATATTATTTCACCATATTTAATCATTAAATAAAATTCGAACAAGCAAATTTCTTGATAATTGCCCTAAGGTTAAAATGGTTAAATAGCACGAAAAATCCGAACTCGTGATAAATTTACCCAAAACGAAATTTGGGTCACTGAATATCTCTATGACGTATCTACCTTTCATTAGCTTTTATCAAATTTTACTGTGAAATTGCTGACAGAGGGCAGAACTCAATTGAGATGACTAGTCTGCGTGGAAATTTATATTAGTCTGGGGTGAAATTGTTACAGGTGTACCGGTTTTGGATTTTAGTTTGAGTTAAATTTATCATAAGTGTACCGATTTTGGATTTTTGGCAATTCAAAAATTAGTTTGGGGTAAATCTGTTATAGTGTACTAGTTTAGAGTTTCCCACGGTGTTAACCAACGATAAAATACAATTTCTGGATTTTCGATCAAATTAAGAAAAGAAAAAAGAAGAGAGAGAGAAAAAGAAAAAGCACGCGTGGCTTTTTTTTTTTTTTCGAAATAAAAATCCATTAGTTAAAAGCCAAAATTCGCGTTCGAATTCGAATCCTCCCCCAGTCCACGACGCTTTAAAAATCTTGAAACCAAAAGAGCGAAGAGAGCCCAAACACGCGGGAGGTCGCCTCCGTCTTCCGTCGTCGCCTCCGCCTTCCTTCTGCTTCAGTTCGTAGGGTTTTGATTCCTCCTCCGCCACCCGCTCCTTCCTCATCCTCCTCCTCCGCCGCCGCCGTCGCCGCCGCCGCGCGACGAGCGGCGATCCAGATCGCCGGCGATCTGCCGGCGCTCAATCGCGGGCCGGTTTTCGGGTGAACCCTGATTCGGCGCGGGCCAATTCGGCGGCGCCGTCGCCGTCCTCCCGTCCGTACGTTCGGATTGATCCGGTATGGCGCCCACGAGGAAGTCCAGGAGCGTGTACAAGCGGTTCTCGAATTTGAATGAGGTTTCTCCGGATAAGGACGTCGGGAGCTCGAAGAGCAGCCGGAATCGGGTGAGTTTCGCGCCTGCTCTGGGGCAGCGTTTTTCTTGACCGGGGGGGAGGAAGAGAGCGGAGCTGAGAGTCGTTCGATTTTTGCCTGTAGAAGTCTCGAGTTTCGTGTCAAGATTGCTCGCTTTTTGTTGCGATTGAAAAAAAGTTGCGTCTTTGCTGCAGAAGAAGAAATTGTCTGATCTAGGACCGCAGTGGAGCAAGGAAGAGCTCGAGCGCTTCTACGAAGCTTATAGGAAACACGGGAAAGAGTGGAAGAAGGTATGCTGCTGTCTGGTGTCTCTAGTTTGTATCATCTCTTTGATGGTAATTCCTTCAGCTGGTCTCCAATGGTTGTTGCATGTCTATCGGTTCCGCTTCTAATTTGCGATAGCTGTCGGTACAATGCTGGTGCCGCACAATGATAATAGCCAAGGAGTCGATGTATTGCATTGGCCTTGGCTGGTTTGGATTTGTTTGAGGGGAGATGATGAGCTGTTGATGGTGCATTAGTGTTGACCAGTATTCAAGTCCTCAAGCTAGGTAGTTGGGGCGGTCCTGTTACCTGTATACCCCTCGTATATATGGGAATGGTCAATATACCTTTCATTTCCTCGATATGTTGGATCTTTGCTGAACTTGCAAGTGGCTCTGCCCCCTCTTCTACTCTATCACGCTCCTTTTACTGATTGGTGGAAAAAGAATTCTGAGGTCGTGCAGTTACAGCACTTCTATAAGATTCTAGATGAGACTTTTCCTCTTTTAACTGTGTTTTATCGTCCTCCGTGTTTAGGTGGCTGCTGCTGTGCGTAACAGATCCGTTGATATGGTTGAGGCTCTCTACAACATGAACAGAGTAAGAACCTTTTTTTGTATTGGTCAGAGTTGGATTTCTTTGTGCAAAATATGACGTCGATTAAAATATCTACCATGTTTCGGAGGAATTCACTAGCTGCCTGGAGTGTCTTACACATAAGGGTGATATCTTATCACAATATTGTCGTTTGTGTTGCTTTCAAGTCAGTATAATATGCATCAAGTCTTAAGTAACATTTTGTGCAAATAATCACGAAGCATGCTAACAAATGTCAATCTCGCTTCCGAATCGGCTGTTAATTTGGGTTCTTCTTTATCCCACTACTTTCGTGTTCCACTCTAATTTTGTAATCATGCAATTCAAACATCGCAATCTCTACTCAAAGCAGTGCAATTCCTAACATGGTCAAACATGGGTATTGTGGGATGGAAGTCAGGACATGTTTATGAGTATCTAATTTGCATTATTGCTGGCAAGATGTTCTTTGACTGATTGCTTCCTCTTTTGCCTCTCTATTCTTTCTTGACTAAATGGTTCTAGCTTTTATTTATCTCTTTGTTTTATGAATGCAGAGCTATAAGGTCCAATATTGACATATTAACTGTAAACTTGCTGTTTCTAGTTGATGAGTAAGAACATGTGTTGATGGAGTGTTTTTTGGTCGTTTCTAAATTGTTCTTGCCCTACTTTCAGGCATATTTGTCCCTTCCTGAGGGTACAGCTTCTGTGGTTGGTCTTGTAGCAATGATGACCGATCATTATAATGTTATGGTACGTCTTCAATTGATGTTTCTCTTAGGTGAAACAGCATATTCTCTCTCTCTCTATAATTTCTGGAGTTCAGTATTGCCACATCTGTTTTGAGAGCTTCTTTCTGCTGATCTTGGCACATTTCTAGATATTGATCTTTCCTGTAGTCTTTTCCTAGAGAATTTCTTCCTGTTTTACGTTTGCTTATATTATCACATGTAAACCAAAAGATGGAATTTATTTCAGGAATGAGGAGCATATAAGACAAATGTCGATGTTCATTGTTTGGATCAGATGAATTATGTGAGGCACTTTTCCTGGCATGTTAACTAAATCTTCCTAGTTCATTTTTAAATTGACAGGAGGAAAGTGATGAAGAAGAGAGCAATGATAGAACAGAAATCAGAAACACACCGAAACGCAAGCGTGGTAAAGTTCAGGTTGGTGGTTCAAGAGAAGATCTGCACCCCAAAGCTGACTTGTCTAATGATGGTTGTCTGTCATTATTGAAAAGAAGACGTGTTGATAGTAAGTACCTTACCTTTATCCAAAAGGGGTCTTGCTGCTTTTCATTATTTGCTTTGTTCATTTCTTGGAAAATTAGGCTGTAAGATTCCATGAATAGTTTTTGTAAAATCCCTTCATGAAGTCTGGTTTTGAGAATTTTTTTTATATTAAGTGCAATTCAATATAGACCTTACTTTTAAGCTTGAATGCTTAGTTCTACTATATCTTTCCATTATACAAGTGGATTTTACTGAAGCTGTTTATGTGTTCCAGGTAGCCAACCACGTGTTGTTGGCAAAAGGACTCCTCGATTTCCTGTTTCTTTCTTGTACAAGAAAGATGGCAGAGAAAATCATGTTTCTCTGGGCAAGAGGGGCCGGAAGTCAGAGGCTGATGCTACAGATGATGATGTTGCACATGGAGCAGCGTTAGTACTAACTGCGGCTTCCCACAGGGGAGGCTCACCACAAGTTTCTCGAAGTCCTTATGGTAGAAAAGTGCAGTCAAAAGTATCACCTGTTCAGAGCTGGGAAAGGATGGTATTCAGCTTTCATCTGCATGTTCTTCCACTTGCAGTTTTGTTTGTCACTTGATATGTTTACAACTGTCTTTTTTGTCATTTAGCATTCTCAATCAGACGCAACCAAGTACGGTGATGCTTCTCTGGACGAAGAATGGCTGGAAGGGAGCATTGGCAGTAGGGGAACGGAAAATGGAGACTATGAAAAGTATACAAGGTCCTTGACGGACATAGAAGGTGTCGGCACAGTAGAAGTTTGTCGGAAAGGGAAGAAATTCTATGGAAAGAAAGAGAAAGTCGAGGTCCTGGAAGAGAAAGAGTTTGAAGATGGTGGCGGAGCTTGCAGCGGAACAGAAGAGGGAGGCAATGATAATTCACTGAAGGGGAAAGTCAAGTTTGAAGTTTCAAATGAGAAAATAGAGCATTCTCATCAAACTCCGAGAAAGAGAAGCAAGAAGCTTTTCTTTGGAGGTGCTTCATCTGTTTCTTTTATGAATGTAACATGTTATTACTGGATTCCTTTTTCTGTCTCCATTTTACTTTACCTTCACAAAGATAGTTGAAATTTGCATCTAGGCCACTCTTTTGATCGAGGTTTCTCCACCTGAATGAATAGTTGAAGTTTGCATCTAGGCCACTCTTTTGATCGAGGTTTCTCCACCTGAATGAATAGTTGAAGTTTGCTAGTAGTATTAAATCTTTCTTTCTACATTTTGTGATATGGAAGATGGAAGTAAATGCTTAAAAGTGGCCGTATTTTGTTGAAATTTGGTCGACATGCAGTTTTACTTTGTAGTCATGTTCCTAACTTTTACCCAAAACTATATTTTCTGGAAATGCACCTAGATATCTTTTCTGGTTTGTCGTAGTCATGTTAATAGCTAACTCGCTTGACTTTGAAATCTAGAGTTGATTTTTTTGAAGGTTTTCTTTATGGGGTTTTTCTTTTTTCTTTTTCTTTTTTTTATTTGGGGGTGTTGGGGGGGGGGGGGGGGAGAGAGGCTTCGAGGGACACAATGTTATTGGAAACTTTTTTAAGCTGGTTTGGATGGATATCTGGTGAGCAATTTCTAAAGATGGAAACATACATGTGACAAGTAGATTAATTGATTATTCTGTTTCATTTAGTCAATAATCTTGAGACTACGGCTATTGGGACTTGGCTGTCCACTTTTCCTCTCCTCCGATTCTTTTATGTGCATTCATGCACTTGGCTGATGTTTGAAAGCGTAACCTATTGGTGGACCAGTGGCTTGAAACATGTCAACACTAGAGTACTGTAAGAATCCTCCGTGGTAGACCATTCTCCTAGACTAAAGTTTGAGTAACAATTGCAGGATAAAGGAACAGATTGTGAACACTGGATTTTATTAATGCATTTGGCATCCTTGACGTGCTTTTGGGTAGGGGTGGCTATTCAATTCTTGACTTGGCATAAAAACACAACTATAGCACAATATGAACTTAGCGGGAGAAACCTGTACATGACATGACAAAAATTGACGGCCCTAGTCATTCGCGATTAGTTTAATACTGAACAAATCTTTGCATCTTTTTGTACTTTTCCAGATTTTTTGTTGCTGTCCGTCACGTATTATCTACTAAATGGTTGTGGTACTATATGCAGATGAAAGCTCTGATCTTGATGCTCTGCAGACATTGGCTGATTTGTCATTGATGATGCCAGTTTCCACCATGGAGTCAGGTTAGTCGTATAAATTTCTCTGCTTTATATCCTGTATTTCAGACACACGTACATGCAGAACACTTCTGAGTTTATTGGTGTGTTGTCTTATGCTCTCAATTGCTATTAGTTCAGTACAGCTGCTGCTATAGTTCTGTTCAATTTGCTACCTTTTACTATTTTAGAATTTTGTGGCACAGAATCCTCTGTCCAGTTGAAGGAAGAAAAAACAACTCGGGATATAGATGATAAGTTGACTGTGCCCGAAGCCACTTCTGTAGATCGTCAAAGAGATAAGGTCTTAGGGAAGGAGAAAACTTCTGCAGTTGACAGTAGAAAATCAAATCTTGCGAGGGCCTCAGCTATCAATTCTGATGCTATCTCCAAAGCAAAAGGGCAACTGCTGTCGAGCAACAAATCAGGGAAAAGAAAATCTAAGCCAATAACGTCTAAGGTAAGCAGCGGGAATAACTAATTTGCAATGTTTGATATATTGACTGAACTTATCCCCCAAAACTTTCAGTGCTGCTCTTTTGTTTCTGAAATGGTTTTTACCGGCTGCAGGTTATAAATGCTGAAGCTCATAATACTTTTCTTCTAGGTGAATCTCTGAAAAATGAGGTGAGCTCATGATCTTAGATGTTCAACGCTCTTATAAGTTGCTGTGATTGTATTCTTTCCTGAATTGGGTCCACTCTGGTAGCCCTCTGTTAAGTTGGGCTTTTCCACTTTTCTAGAATCTAAATAAGGTTGGTGCATGGTCTACAAATGAAAAGGATCTCGCTTCTCTCTTTTTTATGATATTCTGAAAGGCAACAAAAAGTGTTTTACTGTTCTCAGGCAAGGGATGTTTCTGTAGGTTCTAGTACTTACTTCCAAAGAGTAATTTCATATCAACAGTCATATACAGAGTTGTGAGAAACTAATTGCTTGCATGAATAGGATATTAAACTTTTGTTCTACAGTATCCTATAACACTACTTGCCGGAAACTTAACTCTGCACCTTCCTACGATTTTAACTCACTTATGAGAGAACTATTGCTGCACTAATGCAGTATAGAGCTTTTAAGTTACAGTATTAAAATTAAAGCTAAACCTAAGAGACTCTTGTTCTGTGTTGACCTTGAAGAGAAGGCACAGGCCAATGTGATGGTGTTTGGACGTGCTTTTAAAAAAAAAACATCATGCTTTTTGAATGTAACCGTGTGTATTTAATGAGTCCAAATATATTGAATTGATTGGTTATTTTGCATGTACGCCACTTCTATGGTTGCGGAATTGTTGGTTTGTCAACACTGGTGTGTTAACAGGCGTTCCTTACCCTCTTCCTTGTTCTGATCAATCAGTCACTTCTCCTTTGCCTATTCTTGATTTGTAGGCCTCAGCTGAGGAAGGAAAGACACTAGCGGGTCAACCATCTACGAGAGAGTTCAAATTAGCTTTTGGGAGAGAGTATAGAGCGTCTGTTTCAAAAGCGAAGAAGTCAGCTAAATCTGCACAGAACTTGTCTGATATTGATCAGAAAGGAACGGAAACTGATTTGATGGGGTTGAGTACTCAGGTTCCTGCTGAAATTCAGGTCAACTTACCAACTAAGTCAAGAAGTCGAAGAAAGAAAGATCTGCAGCAGGCACTGAAACCAAAAGAGATGAGTGGTTCTGATAGCACACTGAGGAACCGAACTGATAAACGTGGAATATTTGTCCAGGATAAAGCACTTTCTTTAAAGGTGTTCCCCTTGTTATTTGCACACGGATTGCAATTTGACTCTTGAAGCGTTGATTCTAACATTAAACATTACTGGATTTGCAGGACAAACTGTCGTCTTGCCTGTCATCCAATCTGGCACGGAGGTGGTGTATTTTTGAATGGTTTTATAGTGCTATTGATTATCCGTGGTTTGCAAAGAGGGAGTTTGTCGATTACTTAAATCATGTCGGACTTGGGCACATTCCTAGGTTAACACGTGTCGAATGGAGTGTTATAAGAAGGTAGATAAACTCAATATGATCGCTGCTGCCCCCTTTTGTCTGTAAAAACTGCTTGAAGGATTGACAGATACTAATATTACACATCGTCATGCAGCTCACTTGGCAAGCCTCGTAGATTTTCTGAAAATTTCCTTCGTGAAGAGAAGAAGAAACTTGAACAATATCGTGAATCTGTGAGAAAGCATTATACTGAACTTCGCACTGGTGTTAGGGAAGGACTTCCCACAGACTTAGCCCGACCGTTATCTGTTGGACAAAGAGTGATTGCCCTTCATCCGAAAACAAGAGAAGTTCATGACGGAAGTGTCCTCACTGTTGATCATGACAAGTGCAGGATTCAGTTTGATCGTCCTGATATCGGAGTTGAATTTGTGATGGTAACAACATTTTAAAGATTCCATTTTAGTTAGTTTCTATATAATCTACCTGGGGAATCTCCTGCAATCTTTTTTTTTTCCTTTTGTAAAATTGCCTATAATATTCAAAATGGATAGAATTATTGCAGTGAGCCTTGGATTTTAGAGAAACTGAGGAGTTGAGTTAGTCTTTCTTCTATGAAATAAATTAGCCAAATCTGCTGTTGCTTGAAGGTTTTGATTGAAGTCTCTACGGGATGTGCAAGAAGTTTAAGTTGTTTGCCAGAGCATTTATGCTTATTTATCTCAAAAAAAGTGAGATTTTTCTGACAGAAGAAAAATTTATCTCATCTTCTTTGCAAAAGCAATAAAGTAAATCATAGAAAATGTTCTAAAGGTTTCATGATTTTGGAAATTGTAGGATCATTGTCAATTGATCTAAAAGTTTAAATTGCTAGATGAGTGTCTGTTTAATATTTAAATACTAAAAAAATTTTCCCTTCATTAAGCCATTATCTGGCATTATATGATGACATCAATGGGGTTGTTGCAGGATGTTGATTGCATGCCTCTAAATCCGCTGGATAACATGCCTGAGGCTCTTAGGAGACGGAGCCTCTTTGTTGACAAATTCCCTGTTATATCTAAAGAACCTCAAATTGAGGGCAATATATCTTTTGGAGGGGCCCTTCTTTATGATCCTAGTGGGCATCTAGCAAATGTTCGGAGTCCCATGAGTAATTTGATGAAGCAAGCAAAGGTGAGCAGCCAATCGATAGTTGTTTGTTGATATTTGGAAGTTCGCCTTTCCTGTTTGGTTTCCTAGATCATTTATGTTTACCTTCATATTTTCGAGTTGTTTCTTTTGAACTTTTCTTTCAAGACTGTTGGCTCTTGTTCAATGAACAATCAATGCTGCTGCTGTATCTGGTTGGCTCTAAGCTGCTGGAAAGTGAGAAGCTGGACCTTGGCTGATGTCATGTTCTTTTTAGTGGTCCAGCATCTTGTCCATATCAGTTACGATCTGATTGCAGCATCTGGCGGCTTGAATAAACGACTCTTTTCGAATATTGATAACTTTGTTGGGAATTCTACACTCTTTTATGATCTACGCTGGTCACGGTTTATTATGGAACAAAAAACTCTTGCATCTTGGTTGTCTCGCCCACTGTGGCAATTTGCTTGTTTTGAGTGTAGAATTGAGTGTATAATTATCAAAATAAATGATTCAGACGATTTGTTTGTGTCTAATAGTGCATAAATGTATTGTCGTAAGTCTCTTGTTTTGGCACTATGCGTTATATTACTTGGTGGTACTGTGTAGTGATAATGTGAGGTTGCTGCAGGCTTTCTGTATCATTTTATTTGTCTGTGATTAGGAATGACTAAGCTGAACTGATTTTCCATGTCATCAGGACTCAAACCATGCAATTTTTCAAGGCAAAGTAGCTGCTTCAGGTGTTGTCAGTACCCAACAGACATTCTGTAGTCAGCCTTGCAGAACGGTGTATAGCCAGGCGAGAGAAGCTGATATTCGGGCTCTTTCTGACCTAACTCATGCTTTGGATAAGAAGGTGTGTCTTGATCTATTAAGCATTCACCACTTTTCCATGTTTAGCTTGAACTCTGTTTGGAATTTTGATAATTCAGGTGCCTGATTATACAGTTTACTCAGAATAGCACATTTATCATCAGTTTAAATTTTTATGATGACTGTTTTATATGATCTTGCTGTTTGCATGCTGTGCTCCAATCAGCATTCTGCAACTGCATATCTAAACCATCTTTTGTCGCATCATGCTGGGACTTACAGACTAGTATGCTATAGATAGAAATAATGCCAGTGCACAGAGATTGATCTCTCAGAGAGCTTACACATCTTTTCTTTCCTTCCTCGGTGAATCATAGGAGGCATTGTTAATGGAGCTTAGAAACATGAATAATGATGTATTGGATGACCAAATTAATGGAGATGGCTCTCTTAAGGATTCTGAATCTTTCAAGAAGCATTACGCCACGGTACTTGTACAGCTAAAGGAAGCCGGTGGCCAGGCATGTGGCTTCCGTGAATTTTTGTATCACACCTGCACGCTTCTCTCTGAATCTGTCATTTTTCTTTTCAAGTAGCAAGCTCTTTTTTATTCTGACATTTTAATAACAGTTAATGTCTGATACACAGGCTTCTTCTGCTTTGGTTCATTTGAGGGAACGGAATACTTATCCAGGAAATCCGATGCCTCCTTGGTTAAAGCCTCCAGTGAATTCTGGTGCTGCAATTGGCCTTCCCAGAGAACTTGATAAATACGTATATCCACATGAGTCAGGATGTAATGTTCATGAAATTGTGAAGGTTTCAAGATTGAAAGCACAGACGATGGTGGATAAAGCTATTCAGGTCTGACAAGCATTTTCAGTGCCCATGTCCACATGCAACTGCCTACCCACCCACACACCCACTCACTCACTCACGTACACACACAAGATGAAATGATAGTGACCTAAAAATTAAACTGCGGGTCTGCTCCAACAGCATTAAAATATAAAATTGGTAATCTTGAGATGCATTGTCAAACTTCACGGGGCTGTGGCTTCCTCATTTGTTATTCAAGGAGATGTTGGCGGTAGAGTGTGCCTTATTTGTGGTTGCCCGTTAAAAATAAGAAAATAAAAGTGAATCTCTTGGTAGTTGTGCAGATGTAAATTGTGTGGGAGTGTAGTTCTTTGTACAGCGCATGTCAGTTGGATCAGCTGTTGACTGATGCCTTATGGTGCTATCTCATTTCAGGTGATTTCGTCGTTGAAAGAGGGGGAAGATGCTTTTACAAGGATTGGAGAGGCTCTTGATTCGATAAATGACCAACAGCTGGCTTCTGACATCAAGTTATCAGGTGTCATATCCCCAGAGAAGGTCAATGGCAGCTTGGCTCCTAACAATCAGTTGAATGCCTGCCCATCCGAGACCAACCAGCTATCTGGTTCAAAACCTTGTACTGATGCCGACAAGACTGAGACCCAGATACCGGCTGAGCTGATCACATCGTGCGTCGCTACTTTGCTCATGATACAGGTAAGGTTTAAAAAATCAAATGTCTCATGTGCTTCTATGATCCATTGAAGCAAAAGAGCAGCTGAAGACAATTTTGATCATTTCAAATGAACCAGTTGCAACTGTCTGCCTTAGTTTACTTTGTCCTTTTTTGGAAAAGTAAAATGTGCATAGCGTCAACCTAATTGTCATTAGCTATTAACCAAAAATTAAAATGAAGCATCATTGGTGGGAAAATAGATTGCTATGGAACATCCTTATATCTCACAATTCAGATGAATGTCTATGTTTTAACTTGTGATGCTTTCCTTATGATGCTTGTGAAGCAAATCTATTCTCTCTTAATTGTTCCTTTCTGTGGTATTTTGCTTTGCTAATGAGTTTGATGTTCCATCAAGCAGACGTGTACGGACCGACACTATCCTCCAGCCGATGTGGCCCAGATACTTGATTCTGCTGTGACGAGTTTGCACCCTTGTTGCCCCCAGAACCTCCCGCTTTACCGGGAGATTCAGATGTCCATGGGCAGACTGAAGACGCAGATGTTGGCGCTGGTGCCGACGCAAATCTGATTTCTCGTCTCGGGTCTGTCCCTAGAAGTCGGGTAATGTATATAAGTACCGCCAGAACAAATCCCGGTTCATCTTCACCACATTCTGTATCTGATTGGTCCGCGCTATCAAATGAAGCCGACGTGTACTATCTTCGCCACAGTGTATACTGTCTAATTAGTGTTATCTTTTACTCAGTCCTCGATTTTCTTCTCGTTCCCCTTGTAGCTCACTCCCGGTCCCCGCCGGCGCTGTAGTTCCTCTTTCTTAAATAAACGTCGGCAGGTTGTTGTGATAACCCACCCAGTTGGAAAAGAAAATAACCTATTCTCCCGATTTTCTTCTCTGTATCTTGATGAGATCAGAATTGCCAGAGTAACTCAAGTATATCTGATGAGGGTTTCCTGTTATCCCATTGCTTCTGTGAGCCTCTCGATAATGTGACCCAGATTATAGTGGGCATCGACCTTGTTGTGGAAACGATTTTAGTTGAAATCTTAAGCATGTAGTGATTAGTCATGGCGGTCAAATTGAGATACTAATCGGGAATAGATCTTAGACTTATGAATTGTGAATTTAGAACTGAATGGCGGGATACGTTGAAATGACTGAAAATGGTAATTCTCGACACTGAAACGGGTAAGTAAGTACAAGTTTTGAGTAAGCTAATGAGAGCACAACTAATTTCAACTACCACATTATTTTTCTTATAAAACTATGGCATTTGAACATAAATAGAAAGTTTTATGTGCTGTATCATTATATTACTGTGAAACTATAAAGAATATGGTATCTTATATGAATAAAATAGAACCTGCTCTATTCGGTAGGTGAAATATGACAAATTATGAACCAGAGAAATTGATGGATACGTATCAAATAGTAATTCTTGGCATGGAAACGTGTAACGTAAGTACAAGTTTTGAATAAGCTAATGAAAATATTACTGTTTCGAGTACATATTAAGTTTATCATAAAATAGTTGTAGCACATTATTTTTCTTATAAAACTATGGCATTTAAACATAAATAGAAAGTTTTTTGTGCGGTACTGTGAAACTATAATAAATATAGTATGTACTTTGAAATAAAATAAAACTTACTTTATTCGGTAGGTGAAATATAACAAATAATGAACAAAAAAATTAGCGGATACGTATCAAATCATTAGTAGATTCAGTCGTGAATTGATATATTTATTTGAGATTCAATATTTTATAGATCATACCTTCATTTGCGATTCAATAATTTATAGATTTGCCTGATAGATACGTAGTGGCTGGATGTCAAGTCGAATCGAATTGCAAGAAATCGATATCTATGCTATTATTAACTAGTAATCTTTTCAGAAGATGACTTACTTTTAAACCAGAGTGACTTTTAAACTATACATTAATAACTCCTGTGTGCATAGTAGCTTTTCATATAGACTCAGTTCGGGTGCATGGAACCACACCCATCTGACGAATATGATAAATTATTTCTGTGCAGGATTCCAAGGTTGATTTGTTGGTCTGAGATGGTGACACCATATCTCTAATTATTTAGCATTACGAAAACGACATGCTGACCCTCATCATGTTACATGTCCACGTTATTCAGATCCTCCTGTCGAAATACAGCTGTTCAAAAGATTTCTTGGTTCCTAAAGTTGAATGGCCTTTGTCTTTCTAATAAAGCCATACCCAGCACCATCAACAATCACCTCTGTTCCCCAAAAGTTCTGTTAAATAAATTCATCCAAGACTAGGGCCTTTGCAGGAACAGCTACGAAGTCCCACCTAGAGCAACACGCTCTTCCTTATTTCGCCTTCTCCTATACCACTTGCAAATTTCATCTTGCAAATTCAGAAGGTAAGACCAAATTAACGAGATTGGTGAACAGGAGTGAGTACATTTATATAGTTATGTTATACATTCGGCATTGCAATTCCAGCTATCTGAACATTGACAGGTGAAGACGGTACAACCATTTCAGCACAAACAGAAACAGCCCTCGAGCAGCACTATCTCACTGTGTTTACTAAAAGTTCTTGGCTGAAATTGAATAGTACAATGAATGTAGAGAATTACACAGGTGAGGTCATATACAAAGACATCACTTATTCATGTCATTCAACGAAACGATAAGCATTCCAACACAAAGGTCGGGTAGTACAATTTGGATACACTTCAGTGCGGCTTACAAAAGAGCGACCCCGGAAAACTAGGCTATGGTAAAAAAAAACACCCTTCAAAAAAGTAAGTGTCGTGGCAGACTAAACAGTTAGACGCCACCGCCAAAGCCTAAGGACACAGGACCTCACTCTTTGAACTGCCAAACTGACCATGATTCCAGTACTAACCCGACCTTTGAGGAAAACAGAGACCTGTCCGTCAAGTAGCGACTCCCCCAACAAGGGTTATCAAAAACCCGACGGACTTCAAACACCAGCAATCAACAGGCAACACAATGCAAGTAGACTAATGGCGAGAAAGCTCAGGACAAATACGACATGAAGCTGAGCTCAAACACCAGTTGCCAATCCCGACATCATCGAAAAAAAAAAATTTAACCTAAGAGAACCTGATTACTGTATCTCAGGGAAATCTGGCCGAACTTTGACACCCCCATTAGAAGCCAAAAAGCTAGGAACAGGTTTGAGAAACCTGCAAAAAAAAGGAGAGCATGCTCGGCCGAATCCCCTGGAAAAGGGGCCAAGTTCCCAATGACTCGAAAGACCCATATCCTATGGACCCAAAAACTACACTGATGCTGCTACTCACAAGAGCCAACTCTGACTGTAATAGAGAACTCCGTGACCCATCCCACTCTGAGCATTTGTGACACTAGCTCAGTGAGTGACTAGTCACCTTCGCTGCTTAATGAAGGATGTCACACCTCCAAAGCTGCTCCACAAGCAGGTCCACCGATTTTTTGCTGATTCCACTGCAGTGCTGGAGATTCAAACCTACAAGTGACTGGCCCAATCTCCTCAAAGCAGGCAAGCACTTCTCTGATATCTGAGTACAGCCAGATATAGAAAGTATCTGCAAATTGAGCTGGTCTGCACGACCCAATGCAGCTACACCAAAGTCTGTAACTGCACAAAGAGAGACATCAAGGTCGTTCAGCAATGGACAGTTTTCCGCAATTGCCACCAAGCTTGTGTTTCCAACCTTCCGACAACCCTCAAGATTCAGCACCTCAAGCGTCCAACCATGCATCTCAGCAATGGCTGAAACTGCTTTGTCGGTCAGATTAGTGCATCCACTTATCTTAATTTTCACGAGACCACCATCACAGTTCTCAAGCAGTGGCACGAAACCTGCATCTGTTATACCTTGAAGGCCGCTCAGATCTACATGCCGCAGATTGGGGCACAACTTCGCCAGCATGACTAAGCTAATGTCACCAAACCCTGGGCAGTGACGGATAGACAGTGACCGCAGAGATTTGCAAGGAGAAAGCATTGGTGATCCCATACTTAAGTCCTTCATTCCCAAGCAGTGCACCAAGGTGAGGGACTTCAACTTATCACCACAAATAGCGAGTACAGCGAAAAGCCCAGACTGTGTGATCCGGTGGCACTCCTCCAGTTGCAGCCTTTCAAGTGATAGGGCTGCCTTTGCAAAAGAGTCTAGTCCACTGTCAGATAAGAATGCACATTTATGGACACAAAGCTGCTTAAGATTTGGGCAGCCTTTGCCCAACTCTTTAAGTGCCAAGTCTGTCATGCCCTGGCAAGATGCGACAGCAAAGGACCTCAATTTCTGCAAGCCATGACCCTTGCCCATGCCCCAGAAGCCCCTTTCACTCACATTCTGAAGGTTGGCAAGGATCAAGTCAGTAACTGCCTTGCCATAGTGTCCAATGACAGCGAGAGACAAATCGGTCACTTGGAGTGTCTGGAGCTTCACTTTTGTCAAGACACAAGAAGCGTTGGATAAGAGACTCGCAATGCCTTGATCTCCAACATGGGGACAGTTGTTGATAGAAATGGACTTCAGATTGGGGCAGTTTTGACCAATAGCTTGAAGACCTTCATTGCGAAGGCTTGAACAAGAGTCGATGCTTATATCAGTCAACTGACGACAGTTTTTTGCAAGCGAAATCAAAGCCTTGTCAGAAACTGCATTGCAATGGCAAAGTTCAAGCTTTTCAAGCTGCCGACAACCATTAGCAATCTCAATCAAACCTTCATCTCCCACGGAAGAAACATTCCAGATAGAAAGAACCTTGAGTGAAGGGCAGCCACGTGCAACAGCCCTCAAACCAAGATCTGTTACTCCACGAATAGAATTGTTTCCACGAATCAATAGCTTGCCTAGTCCCCCGTGACCAGAAGTTCCCACAGCAATCGCAGCAAGACGGACATCAGTGGCCTTTTTCCCTTCCAGGACCCTTGAGAGGTATCCATCATCCTTTTTGACAGGAGGTTCATCCCCTGATACTTCTTCATCTTGACCATTTATTGGAGCAGGGTTATCCTCCCGCTTCAAAGGCAGGGTGGCTTCGTTGCAACATAGTTCGTCGCCACGGATATTGCTCATAAGCAGAAGCCAGCGCTTTGAAACACATGCACAGGCACTCCTCTCCTGGCCTGCAGGCAACCTTCTGAAGATCTCAAAGAGACACTCGTCTGGAAGAACATTGATCGAGGCCTTCTTTTTCTGCTTGAGCTGGTCTCCACTGATAACAAACGGGGCACTGACACGAGACCTCTTACAGGCAGGGAAATAAACATCCACATGACGACCAAGGGACAAAAAGAGACTCGTTTCCTTGGGATTCGGGTAAAGTGACCCCCCAGGGCAAAAATCACCATCTCCTGCACACATAGCACAAACCCAATCAGCCAAAATACTCGATACTTGCAGAAATTCGATACAAAATTATCGATGACAACACCTAAAATCGACGAATCAAGTATCATAATAAGCTATCAAGAGCACCAACCCTGCTGTCAGAATTTCGCAACTGATTTTCATAAACTACTAATGATATAGAACGGATCTGCTCAAAGGTAAGTCGCGGAAAAAAAAAGAAAAAAAAAACAACCCAACGTACGATGTGGATTTCGCGAGAAAAAAGACTAGCAAGTACAAAAAGCCCACAAAAGGAAATTAATCAAACTTCATATTCAGAACTGCTTCATCAGATCTATAGAGAGAAAGCTAATCACACCAGAAACAAGCCAACCCAGAAACTGAATCCACCTTAAGTACGTCTACCCAAACAATTAATTCCAAATCCAGCGCCATCAACAACAAAGGCAGCCACATCAACGGCAAGTCCCACATGACCAGCGATAGACATATCTGATCTAACCCACATCCAGCTGGCTTAATAAATACAAAAAAAAAAAGAAAAAAAGAGAGAGACTCCCAGGGAAAGAACAGCACGGCAAAAACATCTGCTGCAATTGTACTCGCGAAAAACTTCCAAGAAAGAATTCCACCAGACCAAAAAAAGAAACGATTTTTTCAGCACCTACCAACCTCCCTATCAGCCAAACACCCTACAAAACGCAAACTTTTCCACCAATCCGACAAGAAATCCAAAGCTCAAGAAAAAAAAAAAAAAACCACCCAGCTTCAATCTCACAAAAAAAAAAGCACGGAAACATAAAAGAGGAGCCGAAAAAAACCGGGAGGAAATTCGCGAAACGTTACCAGTGAACTCAAAGAGCTTCGACATCGGCGACGCTCGGGGAAACCCTGGGAGGTCAAATCGGCAGGCGGTGTCACGCCCGGAAACCCCCTCCGAAGAGATCAAGAAGGGAGGCGAGGCGAGGCGCGATCGGGAGAAGGAGAGGGGAGGCGGCGGCGGCGGCGGCGCGGGTGCATGAAGAAGCCGAAGGCCCACGGCGGCGGCGGCGGGTCGCCGGAAACCCTATCGGAGAGGGCAAAAATGGCGGAAGAAGAAGAAGGAGGAGGAGGAGGAGAAAATGGTGGGGATGTGACCAGGGGGGGGAGACGGCGAAATATGCTTTCTTATCTTGGGAGATGGGCAGGTGTGCGGCGCACCGAGGCTACGGTGCGGGCGACCGCACCGGATCGCCGCCCCCCCCCCCCCGGGTGCAATGCATGTGGGCGAGGATTCGGGGGGCAGGCGGGCGGAGGGGCGGGGGGCGTTTTCGTAATTCCGCCTCCCGATTCCGTGCGATTTTATTTTCGATATTTTTTTTAATTTTTTTTTCGTGGGTTTCCCATCGAATTTCGTCGGGGGGGGGGGGGGGAGCGATGCGGGACATCGTTCAGGAGACAGATGCACGGTCGCGTGTCGGAGCCCCTTTTCCCAGTAAAGTTTTTTTTTTTTGCGGGGGGGTGTTTGGGCTCGGGGATAAGCAATTCCAGGCTTGGGTTTGGTTTATCCTTTTCTTTTTTTTTTTTTTTGGGAAAACCTTTTTTTCTCAATTTTCCTTTTGGTCCTGATTGATGATTGAAATTAAAAGAAGAAGAAGAAGAAGAAGAAAAACTTCTTGGTGAATGTCCCGCTTGATTTTTCCTTCTATTTTTTTTCGGGGGCGTTAATTTCGAGCAGTTGTGATTTTATTGAGTTTCCGATAATTCCCGTAGATTGTGGGATTAATTGGCGTCCCCCGTCTTCATGTGTTATTAGGGGAAAAAAAGTTTTTCTCTTACTATAAGAACCCCAACGGATCGTGTACGAGATGCGTCGGGCAACGATGCTCGTTACGAATCTTGTCACCACAAAAAAAAAAACACGTATTTCGCGTGGCTCTAATCGTTATCCGATAGATTTATTCGGATATTCGTATCGCCGTAGTCATACTTTCTTTTAAAAGAGTTACAACAGCGAATACGTGAATATCCTGCTTAATTTTGCCCTTTGTTTTTTTGGTTAATTTTGAGAAGTTGTGATTTTATTGAGTTTCCTGTGGTTCCGTAGATTATGGAATTAATTAGCGTCCCGTCTTCAAGCGTTAATAAGGGAAAAAGTTTATCTCTTACTATAAGAACCGGATGGATCGTGTATGAGACGTGTCTGGCAATGATGCTCCTTACGAATCTTATCACTATAAAAACATATGTTTCGCGTGACTCTAATCGTTATCCGATAGATTTATTCAGATATTCGTATCGTCGTAGTCATACTTTCTTTAAAAAGAGTTACTACAGCGAATATGTGAATGTCCTGCTTAATTTTGCCCGTCTGTTTTTTGGATGATTTTGAGAAGTTGTGATTTTATTAAGTTTTTGATGGTTTTGTAGATGATGGAATTAATTACCGTCCCGTCTTCAAGCATTATCAAGGAAAAACTTTATCTCTTACTATGAGAATCGGACGGCTCGTGTTCGAGATGTGTTTGGCAATGATGCTCGTTACGAATCTTAGCACGTGTTTTGCACACCTTTAATCGCGATATGACAGATTTATTTAAATATCCGTCCCGTTACTGTCATACTTCTCTTTAAACGAGTTACAAAAGCGAATATGGACGCGATGGTAATTAATTTCGCGGAAACACCGTAACGCTTTGGGTCCCATGTAGAGTAAGAGAGAGATTATTGAGCCAAGCTTTCGCGGAACCCACCATCAAATGATTGCCCCTCTTCTTGAAGAATATTTTAGGGCAACGTGAAACGAATCGAGTCGTGCTCGAAATTCGAAAAATTGGCCTGTTGGGGTTGACATCATGCTCCTCGTTTTCCAAAACGAGTACCGTCCATTGACCAACCAAGGATCAAAAGATTAGCAGCCCCTTAATTCAAAACCAGCTCTAAAGTGGCTTTAGGACCGGTCCAACCTCAAGCCAAAACACATGCATTACTGCCGCTACAAAAGCTCTTTGACTAGGAACAGGGACGACCTTATCCCGGATAAGAGCTTGTCCGGTCCTCATTTTCCTAGGCATCAAGTAGCTTTCTAAGGTTCGATCTATTACTAAAGGGAAAATGACGCAAATGGTATCCGAATTTTGTTCAAATGTGAAATGTAATCCATGAACTTTTAATTTGTTCAATATGATCTTTGGATTTTTGGTACATGTTTAATATAATCTCTGAACTCCTGGACTATATGAAAATATATAATGTGTGTTAAAGTTCAGGGACCACATTGCATATTGGGCCAAAGTTCAGGAAGTGTTTATGTCATTATCTCATTATTAAACTCGACAATCATGTACAAAGAGAGAGAGAGAGAGTGATTGTCTTTGGACCTTCCACTTGCCCTAATATAGTTGCCTTGGCTCTTGAGTTTCCAAGAATCGTGCAATCTGATCAATATATAATCATTTCTTGGTAAAGATACTTTGTACCTTCGAATTTACTTTGGTATTAAATAACTCTAATCACAGCTTAGTCCTAAACCCAACTTGATAATATTCTAATCATTAATCCAGCTCATGCTGATCCAAGCTCCACGTTTCTCTTTTTGATCTCTATTTTGTTTAATATCAACCACGCATAATTAATGTGATTAAGCAGCTAAATCGAAGCTAATTTGCCGATCTTATCGCTAACGTGTTTTGTGCCTTCACTTTAGCAAAAGAACAAAAATCACTCGGTGTCCGTATATAATCTTATACGATGTATTGATAGAATGAATTTGAAAAAACGTGCGCACGAGGTATGATAGTGTGTGTGCGCACGTGCAAACGCGATGTGTACATATGCATGCAGTGTATGGTTTATTAGAGGGGAAATTACCCAAAAAAAATCATAAACCTATTGTATTTGTGCTAATTTAATCCTAAAATTTTCAATTGTGCCAATTCAATTCTAACCTTTTGACGATTTGTCAATTCAATCATTCCAGCCAATTTTGATATGAAAACAATGGCGTGGCGGTCCAGTCAGCGCCAACCGTCCTATGTGGCGTGGCCAACGCTGACGTTGATAATTTTTTTTTTATAAATTTTTGTTTTCATTTCATTTCTTTTTTTGTTTACCCTTTTCTCCGGTGGCCGGTCTCAAGCGATGGCTAGCGAGGGTCTGAGCAAGGGCTTGCAGACCCTCATCGACAACAATAAAGAAAAAAAAAAGAAATGAAAATAAATTATTCAAGTTTTTTAAAAAATTAAAAAAAATTCTCTATATCAGTGCCGGCGGTGTCACGTTGGACAACTGGGGCGTCCGCGTCAAAGATTTCCGGCTAAATTTGGCCAGAAAGATTTGTATTGATAAATTGTCAAAATGTTTATGACTCAATTTTCAAAATTAAAAAATTTATGACTGAATTGATACAAATACAATAGATTTAAGATTTTTTTGGTAATTTTCCTGTTCATTAGAATATTGGGTACTTTTCTTGAGTACCAACTAAGAGACACCCCATCTTGTGGGGGACGGCTACGACCCTAATTTGACTATTAATTTAGGAAGGATACAATTGGAAGTTGACAGAGACTTGAAGACAAGAGATTGGGAAAAGATTAATTGTCAATTGGGAGTCCAAATCAAGGGTCTTTAGTTTAATTAAGGATCAACCTTTTTGCCAGAAACTCAATTGAAAAGCATCAGCTTGGAGAGTTAACAAAGTGCAAGAAATGCATGACAAACATAGGTTAGGTAGGAATTAAATGTGAGGAACCGACCCATTGAGCAACTATCGGCTAAATCAAGTAATTAACGATATTTAATTAGCAAGCATATTATAAGAAGCTAATGCAATTAACGACTCCCATTAGGGCACCTAAACCAAGAAGCTAGAGCACCTTCTAACTTTTTTCCCTTGAAAAAGAAGGTGAGTTGGGTCATGTTCTGATTTATAAGAAGTTAATACATTGATAGCTTGTACAAGCTTCTTCCTTCAAAATAAGAATGTCAGTGTCATCAAACTTCACCTGTAAAATCAGGGTTCAACAGATCTCACAGCGCTCGTGGCTGCTGCATTTCCAACCATCTGTAGCACATTTTGCATATCTGTAGACTTATTCAAAGGTTCATTCCAATGTCCTCAATTTCCTAAATTCATCATAATTGATAAATTCACAGTGCAAACAATTTGAAGTATCAGATGGATACCCCCTTACAATTGGCAGACTGGACTTGCAACTGAGAAATCCTGCGCGAAGGCCCGACCATGGATTTTGAGCAGCTAATCACTGCTTTCAGACATGGTCCGCGATGTACTTGGAAAGAGAGTTGATGGGCTTGGCCGAGTCAAGGTTCCTACCATTTTGCTTCCGAATCTTTATCCGAGCAGGGAAGTCAGGGGCAATCCAAGCAAAGCTTAACATCAAGGCGCTCGTACCTCCGTCATCGTGCTCATGCAAGTCCACCCACTTCTTCACCCATTTTGGATGGTAGGTGACCTGGTACCAAGCCGATGCCTTTTGCTCATACATCAAATTCCTCTCTTCATCGCTCAACAACTCAGAATCCGAATCCAACGTCTCGAATATCTCTCGGAATCCTTTCCTTAATGCAGCGTAAGAGTGCTCGAGTCTCTCCTTCAGCTCCCCTTGCTTGCGGCTTGCATTCTTTGGCATGGACCAAACATGACCGGTCACCAACTCTTCTTCATTGTTCACTTTGTACTGTCCCAGGAGCCCGCTCAGCTGCCCGTCATAGGTGCACTTATTGTCCCACGCTCTGGAAATGAAATCTGCAGCACCCTGGACCTCAAGACTTGTATCATAGGGAACATCCTCAGGGACGCAACTCAGTTCAGAGGAATTCGTATCTTCATCATAAGCATCTTTAATCTGATGGTAGAGTCCGCCTGAGATTTTAGTTGATTTGTAGGTTTGGTATTCCTCTTTTTCCATGAAGTCCGGGTACTGTTCTGGTTTCAGACGGCGAGGAATAGTGACAAGCGATCCAGTCTTGGGAAAATCAACAGCAGCGGCGGCCAACTCAGCCAATAGGATGCGGTTCTCATCCAGAGCCCCACGTTATCCACGGTCAGCAAGAGCCACGTGTGCATTGC